CTTAAATCAGTCCAGCTTCAGCATCGTGTTATAGCAGTTACAACAGATAATGCTGTAAATAATTCAACAATAATGGATGCTATTACTTATAAGCTTTAAAAGGATCTTTAATCTCCTTAGATTGTAGAGATACTCCAGGATTCAGCTATTGCTGATGTTGTTAACTCATAGGTTTATATTCCCTGTCTTGCCCATGTCCTGCAACTTACTGTAAAGGAACTCTTTACTTTCCTTAAGGTTGAAGCTATAAATGATGAGATTAAGATGGTCTAGGATGTAAGTGACTGATATATCCATTCAGAGGGATTTGCAGGTACACTTAAGAAGGTATATAAATCTAACTTAAGTTAGATTCTTTGCTAATAGTATCTCTTACTAGATTTGAAAATTTGCTTAGTTTATTAATGCAAGCCCTACCCCAACGTGAAACCTTTCACTGCCTACCTTCCAATCCTAGATTACTTGGACTTCAACAGGACTGTAAAACTTGATGGAACTCAACATATCTGATGTTATAGTGAGCTATTAAGCTTCACTCTGCTCTAGCTAAGTTTTCAGAAAAGTGGGAGAAGGAAGACATTACATATCTTCTTCCTTCTCATGCAGAGTGGCGGTGGATTAAATACCTACTTCAGCTAACTCACCCTTTCTTTGCTTTTACTCTTGCCTTATTAGAGTTTAATGGACCTACAGTCCATAAGGCCTTCGACATCTATAACTCCTTATTTCAGTATTTAGAGGATGCTCAACGACGACTGGAATTAAAGTGCATAACTTAGAAGAGGGAACTACGGCATGCCTTATCTAAGGCTATTGATAAGCTGCGTCAGTATTATAGCAAGACATACTATGCACAAGGATATGTCTATGCTATTGCAACTATTCTAGCTCCTTAGTTTAAACTGAAAGTCTTTCAGGAAGATACATAGAGTAATGATGATGTTAACTGGCATGATAGGTATGCCAGTGCCCTTAAGGATATTTATGCTTACTATGCTGCAGTCTTTCCAGAGAAAGTAAAGATAAATCATACCTCTAACTGTCTTTCTGAACTGGATTGAGTCATTGCTATTACACGGAAGGGTAAAACACGTGTTCTAACCCAAACTGATAATGCCTTGAGTGAGATTGAGGATTATTTACAAGAAGGTACATTATATAATTCTAACTTAAGTTAGATTTACTAACTAATCATAGGTCTCATGCCCTCTGGTACGAATGTGCTTGAGTATTGGAAACAGTATAAGAATCATTTTCCTATTCTTGCAAGAATGGCATGAGACTTCTTAGCTGTGCCTATTAGTGGTGTGGGGGTTGAGCGTCTTTTCAATACATCTTGAGATGTCTGTCACTACCGTCGAAGTCGTCTTCTCCCAGGCACAATCCAAGCAATAATGATCCAGATGTGTGCTGAAAATTTCAAACTTTGACAAGAATTTATAGGCATTCAGGAGGATGATGAAGATGGAGGTACTATTAGAGATGAAGAAGATGATGCTAATCTAGTAGATGTGCCTGACTATATTAGTGAAGAGGAAGATATTAATGATATTAAGGAAGGTCAGGCATATCTACTAGATGATGTACAAGAAGATAATCTTCCTCCATCACCAACTCTACTTCAAACAACATCATGTCAGCCCCAGGTTCCGCGGCGACCAATTTATCACCAGCATGAACATGGCAAATATCAGGCAATGCTTAATGGAAGACATTAAATTAGGATATTAAATTATTAATATAATATTTTTTCCTTATTAATACAATATTAATTTACTTATTAATACTCTTATAATACTGAATCTAACCTTAGTTAGATTTCATCTATGCTAACTTGCAGAGCACTTACCATACATACCTATATAATTAAAACTGTATTATAATAACACGGGTTCTAGAGAGCCTATAATAAGAACCCAACCCAACCCAACCCAGCCCGTTTTTCAACCTAAAACCCAAATGGGTTCTCATTCTCAGAACCTAACTGGCCTGCGGGTTAGAAATTCTAAACCCGGACCCAGCCCAAGGTGGGTTTAGGCCGGGTTGGGTTGGGGTTTCCGGGTTGGGTTTAACCAGTCTAGGCCTATGGAAGGACCTTCCTGATCTCAATTAGATTAATTACACTCATTTATGGCTGATAATCGGTAGTTTACCCCTCTCTAGATGCCTGTATCCGCTGGTATAAAATCTAGCTAGTCAGACGATAGATTAGAAACAATCGTACCTTCCGAACTTTATCATTGGTAGCCAAATTACTAGTGATAGCGAAATCCGATACGGTTCTGAGCTTTCTCACACGTGGCTACTTGGCTGGTCAGAAGGTGCATATTCGAGAGCTAACATATTGAATTATGTTACCGCTTGCCCGATTTGGAAGCATACGAATTGGCGAAGCACTGCCACTCTTGGCCGAATATTCGATAGCATTTGATCATTTAGAAGACCTGCAATCCGACCCCTATCGAAGGCATATATAGGAGATAGATAGTCATTCGTTTAGAAGAATCGGACCTTCATTGATTTTCGATTGGCCATATAGTTTACTAGTGATTTGGAAAGTTTACGTATCTTAGCGATTTCAACATAACATAAGGTACATTACCTTTGCCAGGATACACGTATCGTATTAACATCAACCTTTGAGATAGATATACACTGCTATATGAAGAGAAGTTGCGATCATGACATTGTTTCAATTTAGTATCCTCATTGAAAACTTGATCCGTCTCGGTGCCATGTTTGGGTGCCATGTGGAATAGTGGTGGCTAAATCCAATCAATGTTTTATTCAACTATCCCTCAGTGCCCAAATCCTAAGACAGCAGTCTCCGTATCTCAACCTCAAAAGGACGCTTTCATGGTCAGGTGACGCATGCTCGCTGTCAAAACGTGGTGGATGGGCTGATTAGATGATAAACTTTCTGGCTGGAAAACTGCGGTTTGGGCCAAAAAACTCACTGGCTACACCCCATTCCTTGGGTCCAAATAGTCGGACGGTCTAGCCACAACAGCGAGCCTCCTACACAATTAAATGCAGACGTCATGATGATCGAAATTCCATGGATTGGTGATTACACAGCAGATGTGGGGTCTGCCCAACGGTATATATCCTGAAGGAAAGATACTTATGAGTAACTATGATTGCAAGGCCAGAGTTGCTTTGATCTCACAAGTTGCTCCTAAGCTGCTCTGTATATCCTTTACAATGTAAGCTTTATCTTACCCTATGATACGTTCCTACTTTCCATTTAGAGAGGAAAACTCCAAAATTCTAGTTCTACAAAATCAATAATACACTAACTTCTTCCAGTTCAGAAACCATAAAACAGCTACCTAACTGCAGTAAGGGCTACAAAACACCAAAAGGGTGAAAACAAGACCTATTGTTCCTTTTTCGCCTGTCCTTTCCACACAAAGCCATCACGCGATTCAAGCAACGATTCATACCAATCTAAAGAAGGGAAAAATGGAAAATAAACTGTGTTCTCAATAGGCGGGGCCGGGAATCTCCAGCTCCTGAAAGCCAGACCGCTGAACAGCAAATCCCTTTTTGCTGGGGTAGAATACCTCGCAGCTCGCAACAACAAACCGAGATTCAGGTCCAGCAAGCATCCGGCAATATCAAGCCGTTCCAGTTGGAAAGTAACCCTATTCATCCTCTTGAGGGCCCTGAGATGGCGAAATATGCAGGTGACAAAATTAGGCGTTTGTCTTATTGAGATTGTTGACATGGCTGCTTTTTTAGTGCAAGTTATCATCTTTGCAGAAGTGGGCTCCCTGATGGTGATTTCTTATTATTCTATAGTAGGATGATGTTCCGCAAGGAGCGGAAAATCATTTTAAATTTTCTACTTTTCGTTCCTTAATCAATCATGTGATTCCGCCACTCCCTCCGTACCCCACCAACCGGGCCGGTGCCAAGTCATAATCATATACACCCTACGACATACTAGGCAAAGGTCAGTTGCATATGTGGGGATCTTTCTTAAGGATGGGTTGATGATTGATGCTGCGAAGATGGGGACGCTGGAGCAGTCAGCTCGGAAAAATATACTGGGGTGTGTACAGGAATGAGTGGTGCTAACGGGAGTAGGGTCTGGTTAGATATCGTCAACTGCCTCAAGGCGGAGGATGATGATGTTTCAGGAAAGATGACCAGAAATACTTCATTTATCATTGATTAGCGCAATGTTACTTTGTATATTTTCTACTTTATTTTTCTTCCCCCCGATCTGACTTCTAGATTAATGATACCAGAAATAAGGTCGTTAACTACCTACCCTAAACAACAGGAAATGTGCATCCTGGTGATGGTGATCATTTGGACCACTGACTTGCTAGGCAAGGCTTGCACTAGAATTCCGTGATAATAATGAGTAGGCTGATGGGTAAACTATGGTGAGACTAGACAAGTCTAGAACGTTTGAATGCCCGAGACGAGAGCTAACTACTGAATAACTGGTCAACCAACTCGTCAAGCTTCTCGACAGGTCAGCCGGGTTGATAGCCCAGGAAGATTATAAATCCTGGGCCGTCGCTCGCTCCATACACCATTACGGCGAAACACTATCTGGCCAATTCGTGTCTTAGTACTCCGTAGATCCATATATATCATGCTAGCCAATGGGATCTACCATAGCGTTGAACTGGTGCCAACATGGGCGTTAGTTTGGTTTCAGCTGTTATACTAGTTAGTATGTTCCACACTCATACTTATTCACTAACCGATGTCATATCCCACATAGTATTTCTTAGTCCAATTTCCATTGAAAATACAGAGATGGTGATCAGAGCAGCACAGGTAACCAACCTGTCAACTAAGACATTGTTACAGATTGATGCCGGATCAGATTCCTCCTTTGTTGCGGTGCATTATGCGTGATGAGAATGGCAAATCTCTGTTTTATCAGGGGTTCTTCCCACAGTTTTCTCCGCAGATTGGACATGGTCGCATTATACAATTATATGAGGCAGCTGTCACAACTGTTTTTGTCTTGCATTTAGCCGTCTCGCATTTAGCCACTTTCACATTGGTTCAGCAGAAACCTGCCGTAGACACCTGAGAGGATATAAATATCCCCATTGTTCATCTGAACTTCCTATCCCACAACTTAGACCCTCGTCCATCCCTTCCAACCCCCCTCCTGAGGACAAGATTACAAAATGACACCTCGAAAGTCCATCGCAAGCCTCGCGTGGTTGAGTGGTATCCTCCTCCTCTCAACACCAGGTACTCTGGCCGCATGTTCCCTCCCATCCACCTACAGTTGACATCGACCGGTGCCCTCGCCCAACCCAAGTCCGGCTGGACCGCGCTCAAAGACTTCACCAACGTCGTCTACAACGGCCAGCACCTCGTCTACGCCTCCACAACAGATGCATCCGGAAACTATGGCTCGATGAGCTTCTCCCCTTCACCAACTGGTCCGACATGGCCTCAGCAAGCCAAAACACCATGAGTTCAGGGACCGTCGCCCCAACAATCTCTACTTCCGGCCCAAAAATATCTGGATCCTAGCCTACCAATGGGGTCCGACATCCTTCTCCTACAAGACATCCAGTGACCCCACAAACGCCAACAGCTGGTCCTCGCCCAACCTCTCTTCTCCGGAACAATCTCTGGCTCTAGTACAGGCGTCATCGACCAAACCGTTATCGGCGATAGCAATAACATGTACCTGTTCTTCGCCGGCGACAACGGCAAGATTTACCGAGCCAGCATGCCCATCGCCAACTTTCCCGGGAGTTTCGGTACAAAGTATGAAGTCGTCCTAAGTGATAGCCAGAATAATCTCTTCGAGGCGGTGCAGGTTTACACTGTGGAGGGCCAGAATAAGTATCTCATGATTGTCGAGGCTATCGGTGCGAGTGGGAGATATTTCCGGTCTTTCACAGCTGATAGCTTGGGGGGTACTTGGACTGCGCAGGCCGCGACTGAGAGTAACCCTTTGCTGGGAAGGCGAATAGTGGAGCGACCTGGACGAATGATATCAGTCACGGGGATCTTGTGAGAACCAACCCTGATCAGACCATGACTGTTGATGCTTGTAATTTGCAGTTTCTTTATCAGGGACATGATCCTAGTGCGAGTGGGGTTATAATACTTTGCCTTGGAGGCCGGCGGTTTTGACATTGAAATGAGTGAGGAAGTAACCTATCATACAGGTGTGGGTTAGTTTGGGGATATGGTGCACTACCTAGGGACCTTTTGGTGTGAGATCAAGTTGAAAATTCATCATAGTTATCTTGTTGAGCAGTAGTATGTGATATGCTTTTACCAGGATGGTTGAAATTACGAACGCTATAGTGTATTCAAGACATATCTCATGAGCTTGACCCTCTACATAAACTGGGCTGGCTCGAAACGCGTCAATAGTTTGAGGTATAATACCATGCTGGAATGTTACGCCTAGAAACATAGAAAGAAGCAAAATCCCTTGCTATTGAGAAATCATTCTGCCCACAGTAGCCTGAATTGCTAGGTTACGCGCTGATTATATCAGCCTGAAGAACATCGCTGCAGAAAATTAGGCTATATTCCTGTCCTTGATGGAGTTTGACTGGAATAGCAGGCTAAAAACAGTTTATGCAGATCCCGTGGGGAAACCCAGTTGACAGAATTCAGAGCTCAAAACGATTCTCATAGGATCTAGATGCTCAGTATAATTTACCTAGCATGCGCCCGCCGGAGAAATGCCACTTACTAGGATAATTATATCTGGTTGGTAATTGAAGATACGGGAGACAAGCTGTAACAGCTGAGGTTTGGAGGATTGCCTTGAATAAGAGACGTTCAGGTAACAAGAACATGATGATATATATGATCCTCTCGCTCAATGGCGCGCGAGATCCAAGTCGGAAACAGAACCTGGTTGCCAACTATTTCCCTAAGGAGAGATTCATCCAAGGAACTCAGAGGTAAATGCCACGCAGCCAATGCAACTTTTCACTCTATAGGCCATGTCTATTACATATTTAACATACTCAAGAGGTCCTTTTAGTTTATTAAAGTCACTTAGTATATATACAGCAGTCCAAATCTATCTGAAAGGAACACCACCACGCCCATATCAAATCCAGCTGCTTCTAAGTCTCCCCAACAGCATCGTTCCCAAACAAACCATGGCTGTAACTCCAGATCAGACCGCATAGTAGGTTTTCCCTCCGTATACAATCCCAGATCATGCTGCTTAAAGTCGCCCTTAATAGCAGCATCCCATTCCTACTGCTTAGGACAATGCTCCAAATGCCAGATCTTGCCATTTTCAAACACCCCTTCTCAAATCCACTCAACGCGGTTTTTGTGAATTTGCTAGAAGGCCCATATAAGTTTTAGGACATCTCAGCAGGCAAGGCCCAGTCAAGATACTCAGCCAGAGCAGCACCGTCTTCAATTACTATTCCAGCTCCCCGTTTACAATCATCAGAATAGTCTCACCTTCTAGTTGACGCATACAGCACACCCCCATAAAGGAAAATAGGAAGATAACGTACATGCACCAAATACAGCACCATTGCCTGCACAAAATCCCTAATCAACAACATCTTTCCACTATCACTAACCCACCATGGCAACTGCGGCAAATCAGTCAGTTCCAATCAAGACATTCCTAAACATGACTAAGACACTTGTAGATAACCATATCAAAACCTTTATGTGTGCTTCATATGGTTGGTATTTCCCTTCTTATCCCAGTTCCGAACCTTACCTACAGTGGCACATCAAATGTTTGAATCCATGGTATTTACCGCTAGCTTGATTAGGATTTAGGATCCTGGATGGATTCGCAATGAGTCCTAAGAGGGATAGTAGTATTGGATTTATGAGCCTTATCCCTTAGAATGATTCCTACACCCTAGGATATTGTAGGTGAATGTTTCGTCCCAGCTCTCTGCACTGCCATTAGTGGAAAGAAATTTTGAGAGTCTTAACTCTTAAATCTTTAAAAATGTCCTTTTTCATTCTATTTTCTTTATTTATTGATCCTTAAATATTCTTCCCCAATTGGTACTAACCGTATTATAATATAATAGATTTGTACATTACTTTTTTCCTCAATATATGTTTTCACCTATATATATCCCTACTATACTTTTTTCATCTTTATCCCTCTATCTCCTTCTCTCTAAGTATTGATAGATCAACTGTCATATAATTGGGACTACGTAAGATAGATCTTTTTATCCATAATAATACTTATGAGGTCTAAAACTGCCACCTATATATGTTTATAGTGCTTATTCCCTATCTATAGACCTATCCAGCTATCTAGTATAGGAAGCATTCCTTTACCATAAACAATCCCAGTACACAGTACTGTCTTAATTTAAGAATTTATCATTACTTCAATTGGTATCCTTGGCATCTACATGGAAGAAGAGAACCCTGCTCTCTAGACCCAGTTTGCTTGCTCCAAAATTTGCGCCGCAATGTCCTTCACGGTCCGACCGTCCGTTGAAATTCGGCAAGCCCATCCCCCAACCTCGTTCTCCAGTACCGATGCCATTCGGAGGCCACTCGCCAAATGATGATCCAGTAAACTGCCTATCTCTCTTTTTCGTAGCCTCTCTGAGGCTGTATTGTCGGTGGCTGTCAAAATGAACCCCCTGAGATCAATAGCAGGTTCTCTCTCCCGCGGGAATTGGAGAGAATCTTGGATGACAGCTTGGAGAGTATTTTGGATAGATTCATACTCCAGAGCCATTGCAGTTCCCGATAGGATGAGTCTGCTGCATCCTCGGCGGCGATAATAATTTCCGAACATAGATTCAAGGTTGAGAAGTAGCAAATCGGGGCCCTCCTCTTCGGGATATACCATATCTAGATTGTCTCCATCGATATGGGCATGAGGGATACCATGGATTTTTAGGTGTTCGGACATCTCGCTTGCGATGGTAGTTTTCCCGACACCAGATCTGCCGGATAGAAGTATAACCTGTACGATCATTCTCGTAAAGTAGTGGCTGCCGAGACAGGTTTTTCATTCGGGTTGACTTGTGTGTCTATGGAGCATTTGACTCAGGATTGACTACTTTATGTTAGGTTTGCTCGAGATCCCTGTAGAATGAGTCATGACTCACTCTGGGCTTCGTAAGTTCGTAGAGATCTCAGGATCTACATTTATGCGGAGTAGACAGCAGTACGGCGGACTATTTGTACAAAAGGAACTTTTGGATTTTTTACATTGATTATATCTCACCACACTTCCCCTCCGCACGGTCGCACGCACTGCACTATCCCTACTAGACAGCATTCGATATCGATACTAGATGGCTTTCAATATCAATACTAGGCGAGAATTTGATATCAACACTAGATGGCATTCAATATCGCTACTAGGTGAGAATTCATATTAATACTAGATTATTAGTAGTTAAGGATCATTCTTGAATTATAGTAGTTAAAGGTCAATATGCATACATATATATATATATATATATGTATTACTACTACTGTACATTAATTACTACTAAAGATGATTATTCCCTTATAACTTAATCGTAAGACTTTGATTAAGTTTCGTCAAGTCACTCCCATTTTGCTAAGCAATATCCAACCGTTGCATCCCTACTCAAGGGACTGGAGCCTTCTTAAGCACCTAAGCCACTGGTACAAGACTCAAGCTTCCCCATTATGAGACTCATGTCAGGTTCTCATATACTTCTCCCGTTGGGGCTATTTTCTGAGTGAGGAAGGCCTCTTCAAGATACAACAAGCCGTTGAGGTAATTGCGCAGGTGTATTTTGCTTACCTTGTCCCAGGGTCCTAGGGCATACGTCAGAACACGAGAAGTGATGTTTCTTACCAGAATTAGTATAGTGAAAGCAACATATATGTATAATGATCATGCTACAGCCTTACTTCAGTATATACTCTTGCATAATTCCCATCAAGGTTATACAACAAGGCTACTCGATCAGGCTAAGAATATATTATCGTATCTTAGTATTTTCTTAACTAGGTGCCTTACTGGACTTAATTTTCTCCAACAGTCACCTCAGGAAACTCCATAGTGGAGCGATCTAATAACTCATGTTTCTTCCCCTTCAAAACAAAGTCAAAGAATCTGCTCGTATAAGTAGCAATAGCCTGATGGGCTCTTCCCCCATCGATACTCCCAAAGAATGCGGCCGTCTGTGCCGGATATTCCTCTCTGAGACCAATCAAATCAGCAGCCACCGCCAAATCCGTAAACGTACCATGCGTACTACCACCAAGCATAAATCTTCTCCTAAAACCCTTCAGCTTCGGCCATAGAGCGCCCCAGCTCACATCAGTAGTCAAATTCTTCCCTTCGTGCGCCATCAACATGAACGGCTTATCCAATCCCCGGTCGATAACAGAGCCGAAAAATGTGCCGTCCAGATTGACACCCCCCAATAGACGGGGATCAGAAAGCATAGCCTCAGCTGCGGTCGCACCGCCAAGAGAGTGGCCGTAGATTCCAACTTTAGAGGTATCCAAACCGCAAATTCGGCGTGGGATGAGCCTAGAAATGACAGATGGGATATAAAGCTGATCGAGGACGAAGGATACGTCTCTCACTCGGATATTCAGGTCAGCTATGATTTCGGCATTGGTTGTAATGTTTGCAGCGAGGATTGTGGCATTGTTGGGGAATGTTACGATGCCTGCGTCGTAGGGATGGTCGATGGTTACGACGATGTAGCCAGTGCTGGACAGTCTGCAGTGAAGTGTAACTTAGCAAGACATGTCGATTTAATGCTTTAATGAGTGGATAACAGAAGGTGGGGAAAACGCACTGCTGTGCCATAGCACTGTACAAGAGTCGAGAATTTCCCAGGCCAGGTGAGAAGAGAATGAGCGGAAATTTTGGCCCTTTGACGCGGCGACTAGAATCTGAAGGCCGACAAGGCATGCAGGTTCGAAGTGTAAGTGAGCCGAAGGCGCCGGCTGGGATGCCAGCCTGTGCGTACTGTTCATCCTCGAATGTTGCGGTGATGGGGTCCATGTAGGACGTCAGGGAGGGCAACAGCTTGGTGGAGGGACGGGATGAAAGAGAGAGATCATCAGAGTACGTGGCTGTGGCATTGCGGAGTAGGGATCCAAACGACGATGGTCGATGAGCTGGGCCGTTGCGATGCTGGTGTTGTATGGGCCTCCTGTGGCAGGGAAGGACACCGCGCTGATGCTTGGGAGAAGCTGGGTAACCAGAGCGGCGAGCAGCAGGTGTTTGGCAGAGGGCTTGAACATCGTAGCGAACAGTGAGGGACAAACGAGGAGAATTGTGTTTTATGAAAGGAAAAGGAGAACCTGATTATCAGCAGAGAAAACAGAGAGAAGTTCTTCGTCTTATATAGATTCTGGAGTCAGTCCCACGGACGCTGTGGCGCCCGTGGGGTCTGATGTTAGCTGGGTCATCTTGATATTCCTACTACCTAACAAGGCAATAATACAGCGCGCTCATGGATCCATTCCGCGGATGTGTAATATGCTCGTCTTCAGCTCACCACTTGGTTGATGACTGTGGAGGCTCTGATTCCTGTGCCAAGCAACTAACTGCGTTCGAATACTGCCTCTTCAGGAAAGGCGGATATACGGGTACGTCTTGGCATGGGGAGCCACATCCTCTTTGCTGGATCTGTTCCCCCGAACCTGCCGCTCTGTATAAATTATGAAGAGTCACGAGGCATTCTCAGGTCACTTCCTGCCCAGAACGACTGCAAGTATCTCAACTGTTAATTGTAATTTGAGACATGGCTATACTGGGACCACTCGATCGGCGTACTGCTCGCACCAGATGCGCGGCCTGCGCTCGACGCAGAATCAAGGTCAGTAGTCCCTTCTCATGGAATTTATCAGCAACCCTGTTTGTTCCTGTCCTCCTCCATTTTAACCCTCAGTAGTGCGAAGGTGGTCCTCCCTGTCGTTATTGCATAAAACGAAAACAGCAATGCGTTCCTCAAGAAATTCAGCCGCAGGCTAGCTTAGTCTTTGTTAATGTCTCCGCGCCATCCAAAAGGTCCCACTGTCCCTCGCAGGCAACTTATCTTCCTGTGCTTAGGCTCTGCCCCAAGGTTTCCGAAGGGAGCCCGACTCTCTTTGTAAAACATTTCTTCTCTGACTTTCTGGCAAGGAATGACTTTGGGGGCCCCTGGACCTCGGTACTGTCATCTCGGAATTCCAGAGGTCCCCCAGCCTGTATCAGGCATCGATTGCTCTGGGTGCACTTGATCTAAGCAAGAGGCCGCTGCTGGCTATGCCTCTGGGGAGGAAAGATACGGCTGTAGGAGCATTAACGGCCTACCACACCTCAATCGCCCAATTGAAAGACGAGATTGTAAGCAACCGGGGCCCACGAGATGTCAATCTATGGACCACTTTTTTTCTGGGGTTGTTTGAAGTAGGTCAACTGTGCCTTTGGCGAAAAGTGTAGCGGAAGCTGGCGGTTAACCCTTCAATTAGCTCATGCAGGATACGACGGGAGAAGGCTGGGTGAAGCATTTCCTATACGGCACATCAAAAATGCTTCAGCTTCGCGGTCCAGAGGCTCATATAGCTGGCCGGGGGCGGTCTTTTTTTCTCACAGTACGGGTCTTCGAGGTTTGTCGCGCTCTCATATACTCTGAACCAACTTTTCTCTGTCAGCCGGAATGGATGTCACTCATGGTTAAAATCGAGAACGAAAATGACGACAACGAGTGGCACCCAAAGGAACTATTATTTGATCTGATGATCAAATGTTCTTCGATAAGTCACCGGCAAGTACACTCGCAGGCCCTCTACATCCCGTTGCATGGTTAACCTAGCGTAGGGTATGGGGGCTGCTCAAACCGGGCTCCAAATACCCAAGCATGCTCCTTCACAACGCCCTCATTGAGCTCGCTTGTGAAGGTTTTGTTGTCCGGTCGGCTCTTACTGATTGGTATGGGAACTTCCAAAAGTGGTCGGCCGACACGGGTACGCCTGAACACGATTCGCACTCCATTCTGGCAACAACCTATTTTCACGCCATCTCCATCTACCTGTCTGGCATCTTCGACTACCGCCCTCAATTCAACGAAATACCCTCGCCCACAATCGTACAGGCTGTTATTCAGAATCACGTCGATGCGATTCTACGGATGACTGAGATGGCGTTGAAGACCACAAATTTGGCAGCTGTGTTGTTTTTCTTCCCCTTGAGAGTAGCAGGGGCAAGAGTAAATACAGCTGGAGAGGCAAAGTCAATCGGTGCAATGCTTCAAGAGATTTCGACGAGGGGTTTTGTTGTCGCAGATGCGTTCAGAGCGGATCTGAAGTCTCTATGGCACCGAAAAGGGATAGAATAATCATATTCAGAGCGTCTGCTATTTTAGATCACCCGGATGACAGTGCGTGCTGAGAAACAAGGGTATGCCGATCTGTTTGACGTAGCGCATCGGAACAACGCCCTGTCGGGGAATCACCAGACTCCATGCTTGGTCTGGCGATCACAACAACCCTATCCATGAGGGCAGGATTGTTCGAGCGCCGGGAAAACGGGCAAAGTTAGGGAGGGAGCCAGGTAAACAGATCTGATTGTTTGAAAAAAGAAGACTATCTATCTGGGTGAGATAAGTTCCCTAATGCTCCTATGAGTGTATGCAATTGATGGGAATCATCGAAATAAAAGCGAAAATAAACTCCGATTCTATTAAAGTAAATAACGATGATAATGGCATAGCAACAACAAATCTGAGTCAACTTCTTAATTCTTACTTCTAGGAGACACAGATAATTAGGCTTATAAACTGGTTAGCCAAAGCACTAGATCTATATGCGTAGAAATTCTGCTCGTTATATGCACTTTATAGGTCATCTATATCTATACAGTTTGGCATGGTCCACCCATATAGATATATGCGATAGATTAGGATTGGATGAAGTCCAATCCAAGGGATAGATTAGGTGGGTTAGATATGGATTTGCAGCTTAGGTCACCCAGTCTAGGAGCAATCTCAGTTGCCAATCTCCTATCTGTGTGGTATGCGACTCCCTAAGTCATGAAACCGGATTAGCTCCGAGGATGTCTTTATGATGGAAGGGCTAGTGCCCCTACATTGTTGATATTGGGCTGAAGGCTTCCACCTTGCCCTTAACAACGGAAGGTTGAGATTTCAGGATGACACTTATTGTTGGTACCACTACAAGCAGCTACAGTCATTTAAGTCGTTCCTTAGTTAATATTATGAGCTCCAGTAGAATATGTGGCAATCTCAACTTCTTTAATTGTATTCATTTGCAGCCTTACTCTGCACTCAGATAGTGGGCCTCTGGACGTCGTGAGGCGACACCCCGCAGTATTTGGACACTATTCCTCCACAATCTCCACTTTGTCCTTGTCTGTCCGTTATTGGTAGGATGCACAGAGTTTGGAGATGAAGGAGCTCACAGAATGCAATGTAGTCTTTGATGTTCTTTGCTGCGTCATACGGCTCCTTGTAGTACCAGGCAGCATTTTCAATGGTTTTACCTGCACAGGATTAGAGGGTTGCAAGGCAAACCTGGGATCTGGATAATAGCCTACCGTCTACAGCCACGTTCCAGTATGAAGCATAGCCCTTCCATGAGCAAAAAGTGGACAAATCCGAGTGCTGGAGGAGGCTCTGATCTTTGATCGCCGACGGTGGGAACTGTGGGTTGTGAGCGTGGACCGAGGCAAACCCTACAACAGTAGATGACAAGCAAGGGCGACATACATAGATGTTTCCTTCGACTGTTTCCCAGGTCTCTGTCTCGGCGACAATATGGTCGCCGACCTTGGCGAGGGCCCGAGGCATGTTTTTAGGCTGATTGGAATATGCTGCGTAATAGAATAATGCTAGTACTTCTGGTGCAGTAACGATACGAGGAAGAATCCTGTATATATAGATATAGATATATTTATAGGCCCGTATGACTTCACTTCTTGCGCTCTGCGGAGAGTTATTCTAGTTCAGTTAGATCCATGCATATCTGACCCAGTGGGGAAAAAGAGATTGGCAATCGGCATGACCGCGCACGCAACTTGCGGGCTTGATGACACCAGCTAGTGTTAATGGCTTGTCTTTCTGTTCACAAATCCCCCGATATAGCGGCATGTTCCGATGCTATTTCTGGATAGGGCAGGCTGTGAATTATCTCAGATGTCTCTGCTTCCTAAACCTCCGACCGAGGAGCGCCGAGCCCACGCTTTCCCGAATGGAAGTTGATCAGAACCAAGGTACCGGCGTGTAAGGTCTTAATGATGGGAACAACTGCAGATGGAAAGGGGGATTAGAAAAAGCAAAATGTATGGATAAGATTTTCGCGCGAGATGCGTTACAGCACTCATGGCTCAGCTTGAAGAGACTTGAGCTCATTTCCACAGAGCACTTCCTCCGTAGGACTGCCCTCAGAAGAAACCTTTTTGATGACGTGCTGAAAGTACGAGTTAGAGATGTTAGTGTCAGTTTAGGTCGCGGGGTATTTAAGTGATGGTCGCCTGTCGGGAAGGGGGGATGGTGGGTTACCACATACTATCAAGGCTCTTGCACATTGTCCCGCTGTATTTGCCGAAGACAACGAGCAGCTTCAGATTAATTGGAAGAGAAGCCATGGAGGACACCATCAGCGCCCAGCAAGTAAGCGCGGCGAAGCCGGTCGATGGTCATAAAGATGAGGGAGAGAGCTCTGGTTTCTACGACGACGTTTTCGATACGTCCGCGATTGATCCGGCCCTGACTCGCAAGATGGCTATTGTCAATGGAACCATTGATAAGATCGGAATGACCCCCTTTCAATGGAAGCTGTTTTTCCTCAACGGGTTTGGATACGCCGTGGACTCGGTGAGTGATTCCAGAGACACCGAACCACGATTGGTATTAACGCAACCTGCTGGGCCCAGCTCTTGATCGTCTGCCAGTCCATCGCGCAGCCCGCAGTAGTAAAAGAATATGGGAATCCCAACAAACATGTCGCTGGAATCTCTCTTGGATCTCAGATCGGATTGCTGGTTGGCGCAGCCTTTTGGGGGTTATCGGCCGACATTATTGGACGTCGATTTGCGTTCAACACCTCTCTGTTCCTCGCTGCCATTTTCGTGGTGATCGCAGGAGCCATGCCAGGATACATCCCCTTTGCAGCATTGTGAGTGCAACCCTTTTGTCGGCAACTTGACTCCATGAGGCTCTGACCGGCTGTCCTAGAGTTGCCCTATACTCCACAGCGGTGGGGGGAATTACATTCTCGACACTACTAGCCTGCTTGAATTTCTCCCCAGTGGGCATTCCTGGCTGGTTACATTCATGTCCATCTGGTGGGCTGTCGGCTACACCGTCGCAGGGCTCCTGGCCTGGGCTTTCATGAGCAATTACAGTTGCCCGGCTAATACAACACCCGCTACATGCTTGCAACGTGAGAATATGGGCTGGCGGTATCTGCACTTTACCTGTGGAGGGCTGGTTCTGATCTTGAGCATCCTCCGTCTTTTTATAGTCCGGATGGTGCAAACTCCCAAGTGGCTGATCGCCCAGAACCGCGATGAGGAGGTGGTCCAGCTCCTGGCTGCCCTCGCCGAGAAGTATAATCGGCCATTCGACCTCACACTGGAGGATCTGCGTAAGGAGGGTCATGTCATCTATACAGAGAAATCGGCCTGGTCCTCTCTTCGCATCTCACAGCATTTTCTCGGACTTTTTCGCACCCGCCAGCTAGCTTGGTCCTATACGGTAATCATCCTCAATTGGCTCGTCATTGGCATGGTCAGCCCTCTCTACCACGTCTTTCTGCCTTACTATCTCCAGTCCCAGGGCCGGAAGGTTGGCGGCGGCTCCACCTATATGACGTGGAGAAACTATGCTATCAATCAAGTTTCGGGGCTGGTGGGACCCATCTTTGCTGCCATTCTGGTGGAAAGCAAATTTCTTGGACGTAGGGGCACTATGGCACTGGGCGCCCTACTGACGATGGTGCTGCAGTTCGGATACACCCAGATCCGAACTCCTGCGCAGAACGTAGGCGTCTCCGCTGCAATTTCAGCGGCCTCGTATGTTTCCTCTCCGAACGCTTCCAAAGTACCTTGTGCTGACAGGCTCCGGGTGTAGAAACATGTACTACGGCACGATCTACGCCTACACGCCCGAAATCCTCCCTTCCGCTCATCGAGCCACAGGGTACGCCCTCTGCGTCGTCTTGAACCGAGTGGGAGGCATCATGGGCGTGCTCGTTGGCAGCTATGCCAATGTTGAAACGACGGCTCCACTCTTCGTCTGTGCTGCGCTGTATGCGTTGCTGATTGTTTTGAGTCTCCTCCTTCCATTCGAGAGTCGTGGAAAGAGGATCCAATAGGCAGCAAATGAAGCTCCAGGGTCTGCTCCTGAGGAAGGGACACGCTGTGCATCGCGCAAGATACGGGCCAAATGGGGAATGGACTTGCCGCCGAATGTCGGAAGGCGTTGGTCTGGAGTTCGTATTCATAGATAATTGCTGCCGAGTTCAGCCAGTGTAGCCGGAGCTCGGAGGAATGCGTCCTTATACATATTTCAATATATCCGCGCGATAGGTCTAGACTTTCCAGATGGTGATCTCCTGGCAAGACTTCTCCAGTCGCTAGGCGAAGCCACGAGGTAGATCGCCATATCACTAGCACGTCTCGAACTGAAAAGTGCCCGGTGGTCGGGCGGTTTATCCAGCACTGATGGGGAGCTTCCAACTTTACCTTCGGTCTCTCTTAGTCCTTTCTCACAGACAATATAAAGTGGGCGCCACGTGGGATACGTACGCATCCTCTATGATGCAATGACGGGGGAGATCACCGACTTCTCCAATTTCGTCGTACCTTTGACCTCGCGTGCGGCTGTGTGTCTTGGCTTTATCTGTCGCGCCAAGACGCAGTCAAGCATGAACTTGGGTAAATAAATATAACACCAGTGGCGCAGCGCCAAGATGCGCATTATCATTTCCTGAATTTAGTGACTATTAGCCTTTATTAATAAAGGAAACATCGTCAGTGATTAACTCGCTAAGGCCCTGTCTTTATCTCTAAGTATCCAGACGTGTGGAGTCAGACGGCCCATCCAAAAGCCCGCGATAAGCCTCTCGTACTTCTTCTCCTGCACGTTTGGTTAGCGAGGACAAGCAAGCAACTTTGCTACTGGCCAATACATGGTAAGACTGGTGCGTGACCCCTGTCTTCATGCGTCTGTAGCCATGTGCAATACGAGGGCGTCGGGCCCCCGTATTGGAGCATTTCAAACTCCTGCAATTTATACTCGTATTGACTAGTTATCGACCGGAAATGGCGTGACAGCGTTGCGGTCGTCATTATTAGCTTTCTGATTGTATCCCTGTTCAATCATCGGTGCCTGGGGTTATGACGGTGACGCCTGGCGAAAGATTTTGAGGAGACTTCACCTTCTTGTTATCCTAATCGAATGCGACAGCAATCTGTCCCTATAAAGGAGGGGCTGCAATGCTCCAGGCATTATCACCTGGAATAAGTCTGGAATCTCGGCCCTCGTATCAAGGGTGTTTGCTCCGCAATTAAGCATCAGGGATCGCCCCACGGGAAGAAGCGTTGACAACAACTTCCGAAGTCTGTTGGAGGTTTCTTCAGTCCCTCCAGCGTCTTTCGCACCAATGGAAACGAGGAGTGGCTTGCTTGGGTGATCACGACAGCTTCCGCACCGTATTGCAGTCGGAGCTCAGAGTTTAAGAGCCGTGCATAAAAGCACGGGCAACTGGAGCCAGAAGAAGTCTCCATACGAGCTTTCATCCATTTTAAGACGCTCCACATTCTCTCTCTCGAGTAGATGCCTAGCATGGGGTCACAAAAACGGGCTCTGCGGGCCTCGTGCGATAAGTGCCACCAAGCAAAAGTTAAATGCGTTCCCACCGCTGTAGGGTGTCAGCGCTGCCTGGACTTGAATATTCTGTGTGTCCACAGTCCCCCGGGACGATCGGGTCGAGCCCCCGCAGCCGCAGCGAGCAGGGAGTCGGGGGACGTGCTGCACGCATCCTCACCCCTCCAGAAAGCAACCCTTCACGAGCCCCAGCGAAAACAACGCGCCCACCACGAGTGCCAACACCAGGGGCTCCGACAATGACAACGATCGGAATTCCCAGGATCCGTCGTCAGCGGTGGACTTTTCTAACGACTCCATGCTGATCATCGATGAAGAAGCTGGCCAGATGGAGCCCATTGATGCGATGCTATCGGGCTGGTTTTCCATGCCAGGAGCCGCCATCAGTCCCCTGTACAGTGGGGATCAGACCACTGAACCGCCCGAATTCGCAACACGTCTTCCATCGACGTTTGGGGTGACCAGTCCGAATCCCACGGCCATTTCTGATTTTGCGACGGGCGAGCCTTTGACACAATCTACAGTGACAGCGCACCCCCTGGTACCCTCCCATCCCACAGACGTTGTCAGTCCCAAGGGCCACGGTTCGACGTGTGCTTGTTTTCAAACCATCATTCAGGCACTTGAAAAGATCCAACAGACCAACGTGCGGCTGTTCAGTCTGGATGTTGCCCTGAGCCAGAATAAGGAAGCACTGATCCATATCTGCAATGCCCTGGCATGCATCTCCCCTCATGACAGTACCACTCGCCTCCTGATATTGGTTCTTCTCCGCAAGGCGCTCCTTCTTTACCACCTTCTTTATCAATCGAGACTGCGCGATCGAAGAGACATGAACCGTAAAAGCGACAGTCCCATTTCCTCCTGGCCCGCGTGGTCGTCCTTTAACACGAACATGACTTCAGCGAATCAGCAGCATAACCCCCTCTCTCCCTCCGAACACAACCAATTTCCGACTGGCCCAGGAGCGACGACGGCCAGGCTTACCTTGGGCTCATATCAGTTGGATTATGCGGATGAGAGCTCTCTGGCAAAGCAGATTCTGCTGCTGGATGTAAACAAAGTCCCGCGGCTACTTGAGCGACTGGACCGCCGAGCCTGCGGACTCGACGAGGCGGATGGACTGGACTTGTACAACATGCTGCGAAGTGCACTGATAGCTGAGTTCCGAGCTATCATGATGGAGGTGGAAACATAAAGTCGAGGGTCAATACTGGCTGGCGTTTCATTGTGATGCAGGCTTTGAACAATAGACCGCAATTCGTACCATTCAGTAACGCTCCCATAGATATTCAATGACACACGCATGAATTACGACTTCTTTGGATTGCTTTTCTCCTTTTTCTTTTCTATAACTCGTGCTTCTCTCCTAAATTTGGTAAATTCGTTTGACTTTTCTACGTTGGAATTAATCCGAAGAATAGTGGAGTATCCTTTGATGAACTCCGTGATGAATATGACCCTATACGCCCCCTTAGATGCCTTCTCATCGACATGACAAAACTGACTGGATAACATAAGTTCTTTTCTGACATATGAAAACAGGCATTTTATCCTAGACCTTTTCAAGTTTTGCACCTTTCTTGATCACCCTGGTAGCACTCATGAGACCACCACACACCAAAAGGGCGATTCCGGTAAACACAAATGTACCAGTATAATCGAGCCCCCCCTCAATCCCCGTGTTATCATGGTTGCTCTGGCGGGACAATATGGCACCCGCAATGGGAGACCCGATCAACACTCCCAATGAACCGATGGTCAACGCCATACCCACTCGAACACCGATTTGGTTCAGACTTGGACTTAAGGCGACCAGAACCGCCGGTGGCAATGCCATTAAACCACCAGAGAAAAATGAATACATGATGGATGTAGCGATCAGGTTGCCGAGGTGGTGGACCGAAATCCAGCAGAGAACGACGATGCCGGAGATATATGCGCAGGGAACAATGACATTCAGGTTGCCGAGCCTAGTTTTACGCTCCGGTTAGTTACTACTCCCGCCATGTGCGAAAAGCTTAGGGAACTTACTTGTCTGCAAGGGCATTAGGGAGCAGACGGCCAATCATTCCTGCAGCGTTCATGATACTCAGGATGTAGAACGACAACTCCGAGTCCACACCAATGTTGGCGGCGTAGCTTTCTGCGTAAAAGAATGGAATAAAAAAAGCCATAAAGCCCAGGGCTAACCCCACGACAAAAGTGGTATATGCAGGGTCCTGAAAAGCCGCAAAGTCCACCACCGGGCCGGACTTTCGTGGAGGGAGTCGAGGTCTGAAGAGGGAGATTCCCAGTAGCAGAGTAGCTAACATAATAAAGGCCATAGCGCGCACAGCCCAGGGGAAGCCCACGGTGACAATCAGTCGACGAATGACTATTGGAAAGATAATTCCACCTAGCACACCACTTGTTAGCGACGCAGGCGCCTGTGAGTTTGATGGAGAATACAAGCTTACCCACGCTGCTACCGCTGGCTGCGATCCCTGTTGCCAGTCCTCGTCGAGTTGAAAAGTAAGTGCCAACCACAGAGATACCTGGAGTGAAAAGGCACCCAGATCCAAAGCCTAGACACAATCCCTGGGCCAGAAAAATCTGATAATACTTGGTTGCTAGCGAAGTCATCATCATTCCAAAGATGGAAAGGAAGATTCCCAGCCCTGCGACGGGATAGAAGTATCCTGCATCGAACGCCCGTCCACAGAACACTCCCACAAAAAGCAGCAAAAAGCCTTGAATCGAGCCAATCCAAGATATCGATGATGGGCTGGAGGTCGGGAGAAGCGTGGTTGCATAGTACGTTTGGAAGATGCCGAAGGAATTTGCCATTCCCCTAGTGTAGTGGACATTGGTTAGCTGGCATATTTTGAACAAAGAACGCACCAAAAACCTTACCAAGTGTTTAGAACAAACAGGAATCCTCCAAGCACCTGCAGCCAGGCTTTGAGTCCCCCATTTGGAGGGGGAGGTGGCGCTGGAGGACCTGAGGGAACAGGTACAGAAGCGGGAGTCTCCTTCTCGACGTCTACATCAGAGGAAAGGTTGCTACTCTGCACTGTTTCATTGACTTTAGGTGATGATAACTCCTGCTCTTCCGTTGTGTAGGAACTCATCTTTGTGACAGTGGACAACACAATTACTCCGAATCCGTTCTCGCGAGAGGCGCTAGTATGAACTTTGAGAGATGTCTGAAAGTCTGCTATATTTAAAGAACAGCTCTTCAATGTCAATTGTAATTTCGGCTGGTCTACGGCGGCTGCGCTCCAACGTTGTGGGTCCAGGGACTTAAGGATCTGCATGCAGGAATCCACTATCCACTCTCATCAACTCCATATAGGGTCTTCACTGGACAATTGTGCTTATTACCCATTATGACCAGCTCTAACTCGCAATACACCCAGAACGGGATCATTCTTCTCAAATGGCCAATGTGATGCAAGTGTTGAACTGCGTGTTGCTCTGAATGCTTAAACCACCGAGGCGCCGATGCAAGTGCAGGGTTTATACGGGCCCACAGAAACCGTCCAATTCCTCCAGCGGGTTAGCTCCTACGGCGGCTAAGTGATCATTAGCTGCAAATATTTATGGGCCCAATCGGCGAGATTTAAGACATGCATGGGTCGGAGCCCTTGAGCCAGAGCTACCGCTCGGACACAACCTCGCTGTCCGCAGGTTATTAGAGCGTCTGCGTAGATCAAGTGCAAGAACCAAGAAACACATATGTGACGAGCCCAGATTATCAATCTTTTGTTTAACCGTTTCAACTCTGCCCCTCATCTGATCGCAGCCATGAAAGTGATTGTCGTTGGAGGTGGCATCGGCGGGTTGGCGGCCGCGATTGGCCTCCGCCGTGCTGGTCACGAAGTCAAGGTGAGAAGCAGAGGGATGCGAACTGCCTCTGCAAAAGAAACCGAAATCAGTGACTGACGATGGGGCTCCCAGATCTTTGAACGCTCGTCCTTTCTCCGTGAGGTCGGTGCGGCTATTCACGTTTGTCCCAATGCCTCCCGGATCCTCCTGCAGTGGGGATTCGACGCCGAACTAGCTCGCATGGTGACGGTGCGCCGGTCGGTGGTGGCTTCCGGTAGCTCACTCAAGCCACTAGTCGAAGTCGACTGTTCGCTGTTTACCCGGACTTACGTTGCACCCTGGTTCCTGGCGCACCGTGTTGATCTCCACTCGGAGCTACGACGATTGGCAACGATGGAGGGGTCCCCAGGATCGCCCGTGGACATCTTCCTGCGGTCCGAAGTGGTAGCCTATGATGCCGAAAGGGGATCTGTGGCCCTTGCTGACGGGTCGATTCACCATGCGGACCTGATTGTCGCCGCAGACGGCGTTCATACCAGCGCTATCCATGAGATAATTGGCCATGCAACGCCGGCCGCCTCGACAGGGTCAGCAGCGTTCCGGTTCCTGATCCCAACAGAGCTGCTGAGTGAGGATCCTCAGACAGCGCCGCTTCTGGAGGATGGCCTGATGAGAATCTTTGTCGCGGATGATCACCGGCGTCTCGTTTGGTACCCATGTGCAAAGTGAGGCTAATCCCCTGCTTCTTGTAGTGTCGTATCACGCGCTCAACATGAGTTCTTTCTGTAGTAATACCGTTCAAAACTTTGTCGGCATCCATCCAGATCATCGGAAGGATGGTTCTGAAAAAGAAGGTCAGCACTTACGCTTGCAAGTTTTAAGTTTGAGCATACTGACATCGCTGAGATAGACTGGGATCGCGGAGCGGACATCAGTGATCTTCTCTCTGAGTACCATGACTTTCATCCCAGCATTATAGCCATTCTCAAGTCTGTTCGCGTGGACTTCAATTCTCTTTATCTGGCTAAGTTATAAAAAGGAAAACAACGAGCATCAATCGCTGGCCACTGCTATACCGTGACCCGATTCCAAACTGGACCCGAGGCCGTCTAGTGCTGATTGGCGATGCAGCACATCCTATGCTTCCCCGTATGACCTCCAGGCTCGTGTTCTAACTCTAGCTTCCGTTCTGACTCCCAGTCTCCAGATCAAGGCCAGGGAGGGGCGCAGGCTATTGAGGATGGCGGTGCTTTATGTGAAGTCTTCACAAATCTCTCGGACACTCCCAGTGACGAGGAGATCCGCTGCCGGCTCGCAATATTCGAGAAAGTCCGACTCAACCGCGCATCAGCGATGCAGGTCTTCTCGAATGCAGGACAAGACGAAGCCTGGAAGATTCGCGAACGCGCAAAGCAGTACATGCCGGATGGAGTTGAGGTGCCCAGCTCGCCCCCGGAGTTCATGGCGCATAACTTCAGATATGATGTGCTGGAGGACTCCCGGCGCCAGCTGCAGTCGTTTTTCAAGAACACACAAGCAGTCCAAGTTTGAAGTCTAGTCGCAGGACAATCGCAGGACAACTGCGGGATGTGACCAGAAAGTTCTATTTTTACGTACCTGATATCTACCTAGTTACTTAGTCATAGTAGTGGATGAGTTAGTTAACAGCATCCTCAACTCAGTGACTATTATGGACCCGCTCTCTAACTTATACAACCAAGATTATTGGGAACCCCCGCCCCCACCTTGGAAACAAGGTATGCGAATATACTGCCTAGAGTATGTGACAAGGGGCTTGAGCGAACATAATCCCCAAGACTGGGGTAAGAACCATCTGTTGTGATAAATCACATCGGTTCGATTTGAACTTGCTTGCGTACAAGCCGCAGGCCCACCCTCAAATAACTCCGCACTAAGTAAAGCAAAGAAGCGAAATATACCAAACCAAATCAATCATTCTCCTATCAATTGGACAATAAGCATACAACTACCCTACAAGCACAGCCTCAACCATCGTACTGGCTGCTGCGTCCGGTCCCTTCCGCCAGACATTTTTGATCTTCAGACGAGGGTCAGCTCGAGCCAGGAGATCTGCAAAGTCCTCTTCGGTGCGCTCCCGCGCATTGTGCAAGACCATCATTTGCATGTCGAGATACCTGTGGACAGTCAGCCTCTTGCCCGATGAGATGGAGAACCTGACAAGCATACCGGACTAGCTTCTCATGTAACCCATGGAGTTGCTCTGGCGGCGGGATAACTGAGTCCGAGATGATCACACGAGAGTCTGGCTTCATCGCGGGCACGAGGTTCTGGAGGATTCTCACTGCATAATGATCGGGCCAGTCGTGGAGAATGTGTCGCAGATAAAAGACATCAACGCCCCTGCGTGTCTGAGGCTGGAACATGTCGTGGACCTCGAACTGCACCCGACCCTTCAAGGCAGACGGGAGAGATTCGGTCCCTGACAAGATTGCAGCCTCGAGGTCCTGGACAACAAACAAGAGCTGCGGGTATTGCTCGGCCAAAGCCACTGAAATGTGCCCATTACCACCTCCGACCTAACCTCAGTCAGTACCTCCTAACGTGACACAGTATTGGAAATCTCACATCAATGACAGTGGCGGCACCAAGGGAGTCCCAGGGAAATCCCTCAACGACCTGTTGCGCTGACCGGCCACCACTCTTGCTCAGACCGGCCATCCCACGATTAAAACGTTCAAAGCGTTCGGGATCCTTTGACAGGAAAGTGAACAACGGGTCGATCGTGTTAAACGCTATGTTAAACCCTGTTTGATTAGGCTCTTCTGACGAAGGGTATTTACGCAGAGAGTCAACTAGTCTTGAGGCGGCCGGAAAGGCTTCATGGGTGCAGTGGCCAAGGAACGCAGTCAACTCTGGGTTGATCACCATTCGTTGAGACACGACGGTATGACCGACGTATCCCGGACGAGGTTCATAAAAGATTCGACGAACGAAGAGAAGGCGCAGCACACGCTCCAATCGGCCCAGTGGGCAACCGCTGCTAATGGAAAGCTCTTTGAAGGAGACGGAGGATTCGAGGGGCACCTTGCCTGCGAGGTCGAACTCAATTACGACAGCCAAGGCAGTGATGTCGTGGTACTAGATACATTCCATCCACGTCAGCTACGATGACTCGATCACTGTTAAACCAGACGTACGCCGTATGATAAGCTTTTCAGATAGTTTTCTGGTCCAGACACGAGAATCTGGAGGTCCGTTGATGCTTGAATAAGGGAAACTGCGGCATCAAGAGCCTCCTCTTGGGCGAGTTCGCTTTTACCGTCTTTAGCCCTTGCCACTCCGTTACCATTGACAGGCCCATTGCTCGAGCTCTCAACTACAAATGACGGAGCAGGAGCGGATGCTGCCAGGTTATGGCGGGTGATCGTGAGCGCGGCGTTGGAGATGGTGGCCGCAAGGTTCAACAAGACGGTGGGATCTGACATGATGATTCGAAAGCGAGCAGACTGAATGCTTAGTTGTCCCTTATCCCAAGCGAATGGCCGAAATCGAGGTATAATATATGAGTGCGGCGTGTTGGTCGTATTTTCCGTCGGCGCTTGGCTGATCGTAAGGCGCCAAAACCTCCGAGAAGGTTTGATTCAACTCGGCGAGGCCAAATAGCCAATAGTTTGTTCAGGTTCATACGAGCGACGCAGTTCATGGAGTCTGTGTATAATTTACCCTGAATTACGAGATGTAGAGAAGCGTCTTGAGGGAAATTGATAAAAAGACATCAACAACTAGCGACGCCGTCAGCAGATCACCTAACGGCTCTGTCAAGTGAACTCTGAGCTGTCCGATTTGGAAAACAGAGATGGCGGTCCTTAACGAGCTGATTCTGCTTGGTCCTGGAAGTTTCAAGTGGGCTCTCCTCCTTGGAACTCTAGGCTTTGTTGCCCTCTATTACAAACTTGCCTTGAGCCCTAAACGCGCCAGATTGCCTGTCTATAGCACACATCCGGGCTGGTTTGGAAGCTGGTATGACTCTCTGGACTATCTCAGAGACAGCCCTGGTGTGCTGAAAGCCGGGTACGAAAAAGTGAGAGATGCAATGCGCAGTCACGCCTAGCCTGCGGAGCTGATCCAGAATCTAGTTCTCAAAATATGGCCACTTCTACCAACTTCGAACTCCCGTCCGATGGGTCATTGTCATTCCACCAAAGTTCGTGGACGAGATACGAACAGCACCACCAACACATCTCAGCGCTAAGGAAGCAGCCAACGATGTGAGTTGAAGACTGGCCATTCAAAGAGTCAGATCGATGCTGATAGTCCAATAATAGGTACAACAAGCAAAATACACTGTTTCTCCCATCGTCGAAGCAAACAAGTTCCATTTCCATATTATCAAGACCAACCTAACTCCAAGCCTAGAGCTCAAGGTCAACGATCTACTGGATGAGATTAGTCTAGTATTTCATCAGGAAATAGGAACTCCAGCCGGTAATTTTTCCGACAGGCTCCTGCATTACGCACCACTGATATGCTACTTTGCAGACTGGAAACCGGTTGTTATGGCTCGTGCTGCTCATCGAATCGCGACACGTACGGCGAACAGACTTCTTGTGGGTGTACCACTGTGTCGAAATGAGGAGTATCTTCAGATGTCCATAAGGTACACTATAGATGTGTTCGGCGGTGCAGATAAGCTGCGTGCCTGGCCAGACTTCCTCAAGTCAACGGTAACATACTTCGTCACCAATGTCGGGGAACGGCAGAAGGTAGCTCGCAAGCATCTCATACCATATATCAAGGCTCGACTGGAGGACGTCAAGAAGCTCCAACACACATCTCCCAAAAGCAAACCGGTAGACTCACTTCAGTGGGTCATTGATGCCGCCCCAAACGACCAAGAACGAGACCCGGAGCGGCTGATGTATCGTTTGCTTCATCTAAACGTTGCGGCGGTGCATACGACCAGCGTCACCTTTCTGAACTGTGTTTATGATCTCGCATTGCATACGGACATCCATTCGGAGCTGCGAGCGGAGATTGAAAGCGCCGTGCAAACGGATGGATGGACCGCTCGATCATTGAGCCGGATGCGCAAATTGGACAGCTTTATGCTAGAAAGTCAAAGATTGGCTCCTATCGCGAGTTGTACGTGTTATCAAATTGCACCTAAAAGGGTAATTACTAAAGTCATAGCCTGCAGCCCAAATGACCCGAGCTGTCACCAAGGACTTCACATTCTCGGATGGCACCACTGTTCCCAACGGCTCATACGTCCTAGTCCCGATGCATGCCATGTACCTTGATGATACAATATATCCTGAAGCCTCGAAATTTGACGCTTTCCGATGGTCTCGTCTTCGAGAGCAGCCGGGGACGAGAACCGGTACCAGTTCGTGACCACATCCCCGACACATATCAACTTCGGCCATGGGAAGGATGCCTGTCCTGGGCGATTTTTTGCAGCTCAAGAAATCAAACTGCTCCTTGCTCACACTCTCTTGCACTATGAGATCCGACTGGAAGATCCTACAGTGCTTCCCAAACCAACCTGGTACGACCGATCTCGTCAACCCAACCAGACGGCACGGGTGCTGTTTCGCGCGCGTTAGCAGCTGCATCTCACTCTATTGCTCTCTAGATCTCACTACGAACGAATATTTATCTGAAGGTATCCGGTCAATTGATATATTCTTCAAGAGCAGCAATATTGTGGCAAGGGAAGTCTCTAATGTAATTCATAAACACTGCGCAGATACTTGATCAAATACTAGTATGGTTGAGAGTAAAATTTGGAGTTATTCAGAGCGCTTCAGATCTACTAGATGGGAGTTAGAGTCGCGTTTCCTGCGAAACTAATGATACTCTCCCGATGCTGTTTACTTTAACCCCATCATTCAGCTAGAAACTAACACTCCTCCCTAAAGTAACTCAATGGCTCTAGCTTCTTGCTTCAGAAGCAACAGCGGTTGAATGGTAGCAGCTGCTGCAGTAAGTACCTCCTGCGAAGCTGGGCAGCACAGGGACCAAACCCTCAGTGTACAGCAGTTTTCTAGTGTCAGGTGAATTACGGAAGTGGCGGATCAGGGCGGGTACGACATTCCGTTGGGTATGATCCTCCTGTTTTTGGCGCGAGTATTGCCCTCGGATGGCTAGTCCCAGGTGAGCAGCGAAGCCCCTTGGGATTGATCGGCAGGGCTTAGAAGTTTCCCTCCGCTGCAGTCCATCGGAAGTGCATTCGGTTATGCATGCAGAAACCCCCCGGACACGAAGTAGATGATCTCCGAGCCATGTGGTTTTGCCCGCCATGTGTCTGGCGCATGATCCTCCGAACCAATGACGGTGTCAGATCTCTTCACTTATTAATTCTCCGGCGAATTGGGCGGATATGCGTGATTCGCAGTGAGACTCAGACTGCAGTGAGGTCGTTCCAAACCGCCGTGCGCCATCGGTGTCCCTCCGCTATCGTGGACTGCCATGGAATTGAGAGTAAAGTTCCGAAGACGATGATGGTTGAAATCAGCCAAGCCAGTTTCTGCAAGAACGTGCAATATATCGTATTCGCAGATACATATCGGCTGCCTTTGTATTAAGCCAGGCTTTCCCGCTGGCCGGTTATATCGAATACACAGCCTCGAAAAAAATACATGCCTCAACGCATGCTCAACAGAAGCTTTACACATTCGACACAATGCATCGCCCACTCCAGGTTGAACGCCTGAATCTAGTTGTCTTGGGAGATCAGACGAACAATGTATCCCCGTTGCTCAAGAAACTATTGCTTAGCGCGCCCCATAGCGTCGCCCAGAGTGAGTTTATTCGCGACGCAAGCGCGGCGCTGAGAGCTCAATCTGATCGACTTCGGCCCTTTCAACGAGAACACCTCCCTGGCTTCAAAAGCATCCATGATTTAGCTAGGATCTACGAGAAGAGCAATGGAGTATGTCATCCATCAATCAGCAGTGCGTTGTTATGCGTTACTCAGCTGCTGCAAATTTTCCGGTAAGAGTTCACCAATCTGTCAGCGGCCCATTTGCTGTAACATGCCCTAATAACGCATTTGTACCATGCCAGATACTTCGAGGGACGAGGTCGTCGACCAGAACAAAATGAGCACATCGCCGTAGTCGGGTTGTGCACCGGATCGCTTGTTGCAGCGGCCTATGCTACATCAGCTTCACTGGATGACCTGAAGCTCTTAGCCGTGCCGACAGTCTCGATGGCATTCCAAATGGGTCTGCAAGCAGCGACGGCAAGCAGCATGCTGCACGAGCAGGGGAACCCTTTGGGCAGCTGGTCCATCGCCATTCCTAAAATGACCGAAGACGAGGCACTGTCAGCTCTGAAAATATACGACGCTGGAGGGCATCTATCACTCCGCCACCGCTGTTTTGTGAGCGCGGTTGGGCTCAAAAGTGTAACCATCAGTGGTTCGCCCCCGGCGTTAAGTCGTTTCGCAGAGAGCCTAACGGCGTCGCAGCCGTCCAGGAAGATCATCTGGCTGCCGATTTTCGCAGGATACCACGCCTCCCATATCCATACGGTGCTGGATTTTCCAAGTTTCTTGTCTCGATGCGGCATCGACGCCGATCTTTTATCCAGCTTCAAGTCAATTAAGACTCTTCTCTCCCCACTGACAGGTGAGCCGGTGGACTCTAATAGCGCTCTGGATCTGTTCAAAACAGTTGTCCATCACACACTGCAGGCACCGCTACGGCTGGATTTAATTGTCGACCGGTGTGCATCTCTGATCCGGGAAAACACAATAGCCTCCGTCAGAATTGATGCTGTCGGTCCAACTCCTGTGGCGGACAGTCTGGCAGCAGCGCTGCGTAATCGAACATCGGCGAATATTTCCACGCGGGAGTTAGTTGTATTAGAACCTGGCGTCGACCAGTATAAACCGTCTGCCGCCTTCAGTCAGGCTCCTTTGGCCATTGTGGGCATGTCAGGCCGGTTTCCAGGTGCCGAGAGCGCTGAAGCTCTCTGGAGCCTGCTGGAATCGGGTCTGGACCTACACCGAGTGGTAAGTGACTGCAGCCATTTGTTGACTAGGTGGAATAGACTCCTAACAGATGCGATAGATTCCAAAGGATCGGTTCGACGTCGAGAAACATGTCGACCCTACCGGTAAAGCCAAGAACACCAGCTGGACTCCGTACGGCTGCTTCATCGATCGACCGGGAGAGTTCGACCCGAGATTCTTCAACATGTCACCGCGTGAAGCTCTTCAGACGGATCCGATGCAGCGTCTGGCTCTTGTTACTGCCTACGAGGCCCTGGAAATGTCCGGGTTTGTCCCTGACCGTACCCGTTCTACGGCTCTCAGCCGCGTTGGGACCTTTTACGGCCAAACAAGCGACGATTACAGAGATGTTAATGCGGCCCAAGACATTGGAACATATTTCATCACCGGTGGCATACGTGCTTTTGGCCCGGTTAGGACCAGACACCTCCCCCTGAGTTCGAAATTCGTATATGGGCTGACATCGCTGCACAGGGGCGAATCAATTATTTCTTTAAATTCGGTGGTCCGAGCTATAGCGTCGACACGGCCTGCTCATCAAGCCTTGCTGCTATCCAGTTGGCTTGCACAGCGTTGCGGAATGGTGAATGCGATACTGCTGTTGCAGGGGGCCTCAGTGTGCTGACCTCGCCCGACTTGTTTTCTGGACTAAGCCGTGGCCAGTTCCTCTCTAAGACAGGATCATGCAAAACATTCGACGACGGAGCCGATGGGTACTGCCGCGCCGACGGCATCGGTAGCGTAGTAATAAAGAGGCTAACAGATGCAGAATTAGATCGGGATAACGTCCTAGCTGTCATCTTGGGGGCGGGGACAAATCACTCGGCGAACGCGATCAGCATCACGCACCCTCATGCGGAAACGCAGTCCAATTTATACCGCCACGTCCTCGGGCAGTCAGGCGTTGATCCATTAGACGTCGGATATATCGAAATGCATGGAACAGGCACGCAGGCGGGAGATGGTACAGAGATGCGCTCAGTTGTGGATGTTTTTGGACCCGAGCGCCCAAGTCGAGCTGAGGACAATCCTCTGTATGTTGGTGCAGTCAAGGTACGAGAAGTCCAACCTAGCTCCTGGCGTCCGAGTGCTGGTTACTTATCGATCTAGGCGAATATTGGACATGGTGAAGCTGTACGTCTTCCTCACTCATAGCGGCCATGGTATACAATGGATTAATGAGATGAACAGTCGTCCGGCGTGGCATCCTTGATCAAAGCCATTCTGATCTTCAAACACTCTGCTATCCCTCCTCATATCGGTATCAAAAATGCCATCAACCGCGGATTCCCTGATCTGAACGCGCGAAAGTAAACGGTGTCGATTCCCCAGAGTTTGAACTGCGGCTGACCTGACTTAGTGTTCGAATTCCGTTGAAGATGACGCCATTCCAGGGTAAACCGGGGAAGAAGAGGAGCATTCTTGTGAACAATTTTAGCGCAGCTGTTGGTTTTCCATCTGACCTGGCCTGTTGCGCTAATTATCGAGAGCTAACGAATTACCCAAGGGTGGCAACACGGCCCTCTTGATCCAAGAGGCGCCCACTCCAGTTGTCCAGCACGGCATCGAACCTCGGCCACTCCATCCAGTCACGGTCTCAGGGCACACGAAAGCAGCGCTGTCGAATAATCTAGACAAATTGATTGCATATCTGTCCGCAAACCCGAACACATCGCCAGTGGACCTCTCCTACACGACCACTGCCCGTCGCAGGCATCACGGTTTCCGGGTTAGTGTCGCGGAGAGCTCCACCGAGCAATTGCGCATTGCTTTAGAGCAGAAGAAACACTCAGTTATACCCGGCCTCAGCACACCACCGGTCTCAAGGCCGGTTGTTTTCGTTTTCACTGGGCAAGGTGCCGCATACCCGGCCTTGGCTCGTGAGTTATACACTATGTCGTCTCAGTTCAGGGCAGATATCGACCATTTCGATGGCATTGCTCGCCAGCAAGGATTCCCTTCGTTTCTATCCATCATCGATGGCACCGCGGTTGACCTAGACTTGCTTTCTCCCATACAGACACAGATCGGTCTGGTTTGCATCCAAGTAGCCTTGGCTCGTCTGTGGAACTCTCTAGGTATCAAACCAGACGCAGTAGTGGGCCATAGCTTGGGAGAGTATGCAGCCCTTCAAGTTAGCGGAGTGCTTTCCATAAGTGATACTATCTACCTGGTGGGATACAGAGCTCGCTTGTTGGAGAGCAGGTGTGAGATGCATTCACATGCCATGCTAGCAGTGGCAGACTCGACTTCCGTTCTTCAGACCGTTCCGGCCGAGGTTTCCTCACGTGTGGAAATCGCCTGTGTCAATAGCCCTCGTGAAACTGTCTTCTCGGGCGAAAAAGCTGCCATCGATGACTTAGAGGCATACTTGGCTGCAAAGAATATCCGGTCAACCAAACTCCAGGTGCCCTACGCCTTTCATTCTGCACAGGTTGATCCAATTTTGCATGATCTTGAAGAGGTTGCCAAAGTTGTGAATATGGGAACACCACACTGCCCCTTCATTAGCTCTCTAAAGGGTCTTGTTTTGGGTCCTGGGGAACAGATCGACGCCCAGTATCTGCGACAGCACTGTCGCCAGGCGGTCCAATTTTCAAGTGCAGTGCGCAATGCCAGAGATGTTGGGCTGGTTCAAGAGTCAACCATTTTCATTGAGATTGGTCCTCATCCAATCTGCTCGAGAATGGTACGATCCAATCTAGGAGATCCAACGCAGACACTCCCTACATTGAGGCGTAAGGAGAATCCTTGGAAAGTCATTGTTGGAAGTCTCACTTCGCTCCATGATATGGGTTTCAGCATTAACTGGTCCGAGTACCATCGGGATATCGAAGGGGCTTGTCGCCTGCTGACCCTCCCGGCTTATTCCTTCGAAAATAAGAACTACTGGGTTGAATACCGAAATGATTGGACACTGCGCAAAGGCGACCCGTGGCTGGCTGTCAGCAACGGCGACGAGGACAAGCCAGTGCCGAAGTTGTCAAGCTCTGTTCATCGCGTTTTAGAAGAGAACTACAAAGGAGCCAACGCGATCGCCGTGTTTGAAACGGATCTGTCAGCACCAGAAATCCATGCCGCTATCAGTGGCCATCGCGTCAACGGTTCGGCTCTTTGCCCTTCTGTAAGTAGATGGCAAAGGATATGTATCTGTTTAACTTAGAGGAGCTCTGCTAATTCCTCGCTCGCAGTCCATGTACGCTGATGTGGCTTTGACCGTTGCCCGGCACATACAACAGAAGCCGGAATCTGGATTCTCCTCGTCCGGGCACAATATCACTGCGATGGAGGTCCAACAGCCGCTGATCGTCAAAACCTCGAGAGAAGAAGAAACCAGGGTGTTGCGCATCTACGCGCGTGTCGATCGACCCTCGCAAATCATTAAAGTTGAGTACGTCGCAGCATCTCCTGGCCAAAAAGCAGAAACGAAACACGCTACCTGCTGCATCGAATTTGGGTCTCCTGAAAAGTGGCTGAGGCGTTGGTCACACGATCTATATCTGATCCAAGACCGCGTTGCCGCGTTACAGAAGCTCACGGACTCTGGAGAGGTCAGCAAGATCACCAGTCGCCTGGCGTACCGACTTTTTGCGAGTTTGGTGGACTATGCGCCCCAGTACCAGCGGATGGATCAGGTCCTGCTTGCGAGCAATCTGTTCGAGGCCACAGCGACAGTAAAGCTAGATGATCGCGGCGACGATGCGACTTTCGTCTACAGTCCCTATTGGATTGACGCTTTGCTACATCTCTCCGGCTTCGTCATGAATGGAAATGACACCCTTAACTACAATGAAGCGGTCTATATCTCGCATGGGTGGGAGAGTCTGCGATTTGCCAAGCCTTTGAATCCGCAAGGCCATTACCAGGCATATGTGAGGATGCTTCCCAGGGATAAGACGATGGTCGGAGGAAATGTGTGGATCCTATGCGATGGAGAGGTCGTTGGTCTGGCAGAAGATCTTCGTTTCCAGCGAGTTCCCCGCACAGTCCTGGACATGCTTCTACCTCCAGTTGGCGTCAAAAGGACGGCAGAGAGGCAATTACCCAAAGCTGTTCCACAGAAGCCTCTACCAAAGAGACCAACCCCGTCTTCAGATACTCAGTTGGCCGCCGTATCCTTCCGACCAGGTACTTCCCTCGATATCATTTCTGCCGAGCTCGGACTGGAAGCTTCAGACATTTCTCCGCATGATCGACTATCCGATTTGGGTGTCGATTCCTTGATGTCGCTGACCTTGGCCAGCAATCTTACCGAACAACTTGCCATTACAATTTCCCACAGTGAATTGATGGACTGCAATACAATTAGTGAGCTCCTGGCCATGCTGGACCAGAAGCAGGGTGGAACCACCAGCCCCCTGACCAACTCTTCAGCGGAGAGTGGCCAAGACAGTGGCAGCTCTTATGAGGCTTCAGACTCGTCGCAGTCGTCCGCGATGGTGGAGACTTTCACTCCTGATAGTGCCATTTCAGATACTGCAGAGTTAGTGAGGTCCATCATTTCGGATGAAACCGGCATCCCCACGGAAGATCTTGAATCATCTGCCGATCTAAGCGCACTTGGGGTCGATTCCTTGATGAGTCTTGCAGTCCTTGCAAGACTCCAAGAGGTAGGGGTTGAGCTGCCAACGGACTTCTTTCTAGAGAACAATACAATGAATGAAGTGTTCAGAGCTCTACCCAGGGTAACGGGCTTCGTAACGCCACGGTTGCAGGGCATTGAGAAAGTCGAAAAAGGAGACCAGAAACTGCACGCCGCTAATCACAACCAGACGGATGTCAGCTTCCGGGCCAGAGTGGTCCTCCTTCAGAAGCGCTCCAATCCCACGAGTACTGGCAACTTCTTCCTCTTTCCAGACGGCTCAGGGTCCCCATTCTCGTATGCGGCGTTAGAGCCCATCAGCCCAGACTTTGACATATACGGACTCGTTTGCCCATTTATCGACTCCCCGATGACTATACTGGCGGCATTGAAGCAACAGTGAAAATCTATCTCTCGGCCATCAGAGACCAACAACCTCATGGGCCGTACCATTTCGGAGGGTGGTCTGTCGGTGGCGTCTTGGCATATGAAGCATCAAGACAGTTGATTGAGGCCAAGCAGAAGGTTCAGTCACTGATCCTGATTGATGCCCCTTGCCCGGCCGTCCTTCCTCCGATGAGTTCCTCTCTGATCGATTACTTGGCCTCGAAAGGAGTCTTCGGCCAATCCCATGGTACCTCCGCGCCAAAAGCCGGAGAGAAGCGGCAAAGTCTCCTGAAGCACTTCGATTCGACGGTTGCCAATCTGGCATTGTACAAACCGAGGCCGATCATTCCACTCGTAGACACGCTGGAAACTTTGATCATTTGGGCCCGAGATGGGGTCAATGGTGATTCCAACGTTTCGGAGTCGTCAAATTCAACGGAATCCTGGATATTGGATAATAGAAGTGATTTCGGCCCTCACGGTTGGGAGACTGTACTACCAGCGCAGCACATTTCCACAGTCCCTGTTTCTGGAAACCATTTCACAATGATGGCTGGTCAGAATGTAAGTGCCTCTTATATGTGGAGAGAAGACTTCAGTTTTGACATATATTATCGACAGGCGGTGGCCGTGTCCAGCCATTTACAGAACCATTTCGCGGGCTTTGCATAATGTGGCGCAGAGGTAACACTCCGGCTAGCCATGTCCACAGAGCAGTGAAGAGAGTTGGAATAATAGGATGCTATCCTTGTCTACGCCTCAACTGTAATAGATGATACTGTCGAGGTCAGTCCAGGGAGTGCATTACTGACATGGTGAATTAGTTTCTGTTGTAAGCTGGCGGATAATACAGACACCTGATCAAATAAGAGTACAACTAGTGCAGCAATTCTATTCTATCGTTTCACATCAGCCAGATCTAAAGGGGTTACAATAGTCAACCGCTTAGCAAAGCCAACCTGTCTCACGCAAAAAAAAAAAAAAAAAAAAAAAAAAAAGGGAGGACAGGTATTTAGAAGCAGACGCAACAGCAGCGCGGTATACTGGTGAGCACTCTGTACTAGTGGGTTGAATGGGAAAGCACCACGCGACCGTCACCCGTTCTCGCATGGCTGCATGGTCGGGGACTTGGGGGCATTATTAGGCAAAGGAGCCATTTCATCCTTCGTGTTTGAGCTACCAACCTTAGATTCCCATAACACATCTGCTGCCCAATGTAAAGGCTCAGAAATCTACTGGACACAGGCTCCTTATTGGCCGCCGGCCTAGCCATAGATGTTTTCCTTAACGGTTTTACCATCCCAGATACGTCCCCTGCCGCAACATGATGAGTTAATTCAATCATAGTCATTGCAATCCCCCAACTTTGTGCCCGTCTCCTCTCATCCTCCCACTGGATGCTCATGATACTTAGTCATCTCAAGCACCCTTTAAAAATGGCCCTTGGTCACAAGAACGACCATCTCAGGACTATAGTCTGGGTCTTCTTCCCTCTTAAACTCTGCAAGTGTGATAACGGGAAGTGACCATTAAATTTTTTCGAGAAAGACAGAAAGAGGCTAATAAACAAAGTAACAATGCCCGTAAGATTGTGGACCATCAACAGACCCAGCACCCTTCTTGCGAGGCAGTGATATAGCCGGCAGCGACTAGCCCTAAGGAGTCCTAAAAAAGGCTGAGAGCTATGGTTTCGACCAGCGGTCAGTCTGGTTCCACGTCAACTAATATCGCCATCAGGAAGAGGCCTTCCATGGAGCCATGTTGATGAACGAAGAATAGGTCCGAGATCTGTGATGGACATTCTAGCTAAATTCAAAACTATCAGATAAAGCAAGCAACTTACCGCCATAGGCATGAGAGCTTCATTGACGCAGCCTACAAGTCCTAGTATCATGTTTATCACATACCACTGACGCAAAGTTGCCATCCTGGCTTGCCAGACTGCTGTGACAAAGTCGTGCAGGAAGTTATAATGCGAACTGGCCGAGCGCCACATTGAATCGCCGGTGGGATGAACAGCATAGCCCCAAGGGAAAGACCCGCCACCTGCATGCATATCTGTTTTTCAAGTGGTCATAGGTGAAACTGAGGTCCGTGTCCGCAGGTTCCCACCAGGGGACGGTGCTGCACATTCCATACCAATAAAGCTCAGGGACTGCACCTCCTAGCAAGACCGTCTTTCAGGACAGGGATATACGTTTACGTAGCAAAAGTGAGCAAAAACCCCAGAGCTCCAAAATAGTGAATCGCACAGCGTTGCGTTTATGTTCCAGTTCTTCACAGCTCCTGTCAGCTCAAGGACGTCAAATGAAGGCTGCTCATGAAAGGCACACCAGTGGCTGATTTGGGTCATATGAGGGTATCGGGCTAGTGTATTCCGTTCAGGTCCCCCAGCGACATCAAATATCGTCGTACCAGGAGGATCGTGCATGTTTTCGATGCTCCAAGGTTGCAGAATGTGGAGATATCGAACGACAGTTGGGTTTAAGAGAAAGCGAGAAACGTAGTCGTTAAGGGCCACAACAAGCAGACGCGCGGTAGTTATAGATCTATTGGAGAGTTGGTGTTATGTCCATGTAGCTATTTGCTGCCAATTCGAAAAAAATATGTAGTATAGCGCAAAAGTCCCTTCCTCGCGATTGAAGTAATCTGACGACGCTACAATATCGAAAATATATATATATATACAGAAGAGGCATCTGATTCAGCTGCAGAGATTTTCCCATGCACGACAAAAAGAAATTGAGTCTTCAGAGGATAAACAGTCCAACATCAACTCATATCCATCTGGACTACCTAAGCCTTGGCTTCGTGTTCGGCGCTCACCTCAATCAACTGCATTTCGCAGTCGCGCGACCGACGAAATGACCATTTCGTCTGATCCCAAAGGCCGTCAAAGCAAAAGCCTGGATGGAGAATGGTCATGCAGATAACAGCAATGGCAATCATTGCTCCCTCCAGAATCATAAAGAGCACCTGGTTGTTGGCTAGCGAACTGTGGAATCCCTCATTAAGCTCCGCCACTCGGAAGACAGATCGCACAAAGATGGTCAAAGTAGCAAGAGCCAGACCTAAAAGAACATAGTCAATTCTCCGTGCAATTAATCCAGTGGACTGAGAATGGTAGTCTTTACCTGCCAGGAAGGCCTTCCAGCGGAGGCTCTGTCGGAGCTCCCGCATGCGGGTGTCGGGGTTGAGGTCCTGCGGGTTCTTGATCACTTTCCAGGCGAAGTCGAGGCAGAGGACCATAAAGAGAGCCAGAGACGCGACCTGGCTAGCGAGTCCGGCAATCATGATGTTGATACCATCCTGAGCGAGATCGTACTGGTCGGCATCTGCGATGGAGGTGATGGCACCGCCCGCCGCCTGTAAGATGAGAGAGACCAAGTCACACCCAACGAAGACAATCGTGTATATTTTCGGACGGAGGCGAGAGATACTCTCGCCGTAGATAGTCACGATGCGTCCCAAGCAGATGTAGATGGAGGCGCTGAGGAAGGCTGGCCCGATGGTCAGGCAGATGAGGTACCTGTTGTAGGGATCAGTATTAGATCAAAATTGGCTGTGAACGGCGTGGTGACATACTCCAGATACGGATCGAAGCGGAAAGGATTGTTATGCAATTGAATCCGTCCGAGATACCCGATGATTTCCAAGACGAGGCCCCCAAAGAGACCTGCAAAGTAGCCCCAGGTTCGATAGCGGACCACGAGCACCGCTTGAGCGGCTAGTAGCACGACAAACAAGGCCAGATAGAAAGCATTGCCAGCCAACGATGGGACATAGTAGACATACGCCTCTGTAATCGGGCAAATGTCCAAAGTGCAATAGTCTGAGGGATCCGTGGAGTTACTCATGATCGCGAAGATGGAATGGGAATTGAGCTTGTTTCCTTTTTCAGTCTTCCTACCTGGATTGGTGACCGACGATACTTAACTTAACGACATTTTTCGTTGCCTGGAGCCTAGATAAAGAGGTCACAAACTTAGAAAAGCCATGTCCATGTTGGGGGTCTCATTGCAAAACGAACTGCAGGCCGGGAGTCCTTGTCCGTGTTGGCATGCCCGTCGGTACCTGCTGCGTCCAGGGTCACCCCGGCGTATTCGTGGCTAAGTATGAGACAATACTGATACGCACACATGCACTTGGATGTAACTCAAAACATGAGTGGCATCGGTGCTTGACTGAGTGGATCTGTTTAGTGCGATTGCCAAGAGATATCGTCGCGCGGATGGCTGGGTTGATCCGGACACAGACACAGACAAGGACACGGACACGGACACAGACAAGGACAAGGACATAGGACTGGGCTACAGACACAGACATGGTGATATTATGGTTGTTGATTTGTTGCCAACTCGTTCTCATAGACACGCTCGGACACGGACGCGGAACGGAATCATCTAACCGCCCCACAGGCACAATGCAGGCCTAAACTGTCTAGAGTGCTGCTATGAGCTGTGCTGCTAATCAGATTTCATCTTCATCTTACCTGTCAGGAGTTGCTTCACACACACTAACCAACGTCCGTGTCTTGGCGAATATGGCTTTGTCGTGGGGGCAGAAATGCAAAGGGCCCAGCTAATTACTGCTGATGGTTGATATTTTTTCCCTTTCCGTTTCCTCTGACCATGCTCTGGGCTGAGAATGTCTTCTCTTTCTTCAAATTTCCGGCTGTCTGAGTCTACCAGCACGATGCTCTCAAGCGGGAGACTGAAGCAAGTTCACCGACGCACTCTGGATCAAGTCTTGAAGTGCCAGTCTTGGCTTCCAGCTCTATCATTGTCACCCAAACTGGAGGTCATCTTGACTCGAGCCCGTCAAGGGCCCCTGATCTCGTGTCTATCGGTCAATCTGCTCGTGGTATGCCTATCATGGCTCGTCTCTTTCCTACAATTCAGAATGATGTTACATGCCAACCTCGTCGCGACTGAGGACCTGCTCCCTAACGCAAGCTGGGCAGCTGGGCTCCAAACAGCACACATCGAGCCCGTCCAATGGGCCCCACCATCCACCACTGATGAGACGGCGATGTTGAATAGCTCTGTCGCCGGCATCCCCCAGGTCATTCATCGGATGTGGCAACACCGCACGTCGGAGACGCCAGAGGATTGGACTAACGCGACTGCCTCCTGCCGCGATCAGAACCCCGTTTACCGGCAGTACCTGTGGACATTTGAGACAGCGCATCAATTCATACGCACCCATTTCCCCTGGTATCTTCCAACATATACGAACCACCTTCTGCCGGTGCAGCGGGTCGACGCGCTTCGCTACTTTCCTCTTTGGCACTACGGTGGCGTGTTTCTCGACCCGCAGATAGGATGCCGCCAGTCTCTGGAGCCGCTGCTGCTGCTAGGGACAGACAAGGGCCAGGCCCAGGCTCAGGCTCTGTTGCCCCAGAGCTGGCCGTATGGCGTCACCAATGAGTTGATGGCGAGTACGCCGAGGCATCCGTTTATGATCAAACTGGCCTTGACATCCCACGAACATCACTGGTCGGCCATTCCGGCCTATTTCATGGCCTTGGTCAGTTTGGGACCTGTCCTCGTCAGCCGCGTTCTGGCCGCGTGGCTCCGGTCTGTTGGCGGTGCGCCGGCCGCGCTCGCCATCTTGCCATCGGCGCTCTATGATGATAAAGCAGAGCAAGCATTTTTCTTACGGTTCGAAGGCCAGATGCCGCATGGAGATGAGGTTGCAGTTTCATTGCATATATTCGGCAATTGGCTCGGGTGGTGTGGAGCGGCTGTGTCGTTGATTATCATGGCTTTTGTCATCTTTGGCGTTCGGTCCTGACCCAAAATGCGACGAAGACAGGATGTTTCTGATACACCGGAACCATTTGTATAGATCACCGAGACCTATCAGGTTGTGTTATCTAGTTTAGGTACACCATAGTATAGTACTGTGAATGAGCTTTCATCCCTGTGCAAAGACGTCTACTCAAATGCTGCGGGTCCTTGCGTCATCCAGCCTGCAAAAAGGTCATCAAAAGCGGGACTGGGAAACAACCCTGGCCATTGAAAATCAAATTCATCGCGTGGGATGGTAGGATAACCTTCTAGCTCTTCCTCCGATGGCATTTGAGCGATACTTGGATCAGACGAGCCATCCATGGCGACCGCGAATGACTCATTCTGCTGCGATCGCGACAGTGTCCGACTTTCAAACCACCATTGCGCCCGAATTAGCCGTTTCTCATAGTGGTAGAACACATCACGGTCCTCGTGCATCCATATGGGATGTGACAAGCGCTTGGATGCGCAGGACGCACCGGCTCAACATGTTTGAGAGGTTCAACGCGCGGGTCAAATCGGCCGTGTGAGGGTGGATGGAGGGCTCCGATGCGGCGACCACGAGCTTGCAGGCCAGTGTCACGGCAAAGCCGAGCTGGATCCAGCCTGCATTGTTGAAGGCAACTTCGCGACGGAGGGGAAGGGAGATATAGAATTCCAGCAGCGTGCGCGCTGCGGTGAGACCCATACGTAGAGATTCGACCTGGAAGGGCGAATCATGTCGTGGATGCTGGGCGCTGGGCTTGTAGTCGAACAGGATGACTTGGCATAGATAGAGTTCCACCGTATGAAATTGCATGAAGAGGAGATCTAGAGTCCGAGTGACATGTCGAGGAACCAAGTCCTGTCTATGGCCGTGCGGTCACCTACGGTTTTCGGTGAGCATAAATGGAAGCTGAGCTCGATACAGATCCAGTTCCGATCGAAGCTCGCGATAATAGCATTCAAGTGTATCTGCGTGATGGTTCTCGGAGGCATGCTGGGAGGATATCAGAAGGATCTTTTCGGACAGGCGCTGAAGTTGGACGATGTGCAGTAAGTGGCAGTCCGAGTCATATTCGGCGTCCGATGCCAGGAGTTCACACGAGGCTTCTAAATACGGAATGTATGAGAAAGAAGAGCGCTTTTGCAAGATCTGCGAGATGCTGGAAAAAATCTTAGCTTGACCTGGCGGACCATTCAGTCGTTACTCTGCCTTACCCAGACGAAAACCAGAAAAATCCAATAACAGCTCTTCTCTCTTCTCTGCCCCATGAGATGGCGTTCTGGTCGGCTTCGCCATCAAAGTTCACTCTTGTTCGCCAGAATCGATCTTCTGGGGCACGGTCGAGCTGTAGATCGGTGATGATGCTGATTCCGAGATGCAAATACTGGGAAAATCGGCGTGGCCTTGAGTGGTACTGGCACCTACGTCGAGTTGAGTCACCATGACCGGGGAGAGTAACAAGATACAAACAGCGGGTCTCACCACGCCAGATGGACCAAAATACCCTGGAGCATCTCAAATGTAGCAGGTCCGTCAAAGATCATAGAGTGACTGATCGCCCGCTTGACCTCAAGCTCAAGTGTTCGTTGGAGGGGCATGTTGTCATACAACGCCGCTGTAAGAATAGTGAGAAACAGAAAGGGCTTCTCCTTGCGCAGGGCTGTTGCGGTCGCTTGCGGTGGGATTATCACGAACGGGCAGTACGGCATGAGGGTGGTTCGATACTCGTGCAGCAGCCGGTTCGCCGCGTCGATGGTCAAGTGTCCCTTACCGATCACATCTTCGGGTTGTGTTGGCGCACTGGCAGTGCTTTTTCATCGATACTCCCTTCTGACGCAGTTGCACTGCGTGACTGTGCGAGGAGTCGGTCCAACTTGGCTTCCCGCAAATCGATCCTTCGATCCTTGCTATCGCTTGGACTGGCAACCCCGGTCGTTCTTCGCCCGTGCTGAAAATGACAGACCTTCCCCAAGCGATCGCAGCTAATCATCATTAGTCTTTTTTTGAATCGAATTAGTGAGTTACATGGCGCAGACCGGTCGCAGCTCCCTGTGGTGGTGGAGCGAATGCATCGGATTTTGCCTCGTGCACAGTTTTGACAGGTCCGCGCGGAGCCATTGGAGTAGCGGCTCGCCCTGGTGTGGTCACTCATCTCCCGACATTACGAGGCTGTTACGCCAGTTGCAGTGGTGATGAAAATGAAACGATGTGCTCGGCGGGGAAGAAACAGTGCTTTGGTGCGGTGTAGGCGGTCGACTCCGGGCTAATAAAGAACCCAGCCGCAAGCGCAAGGTGGCGGGACCAAAAGAAGGCTACTAGCTTGATAATGTCATAGGTCAGGCAAGCCAAAACAATGAAACTAGTCCGCTCTTGTACACAACACACACTGAGTGGAGAGATTACTATTACTAAGGGGGATTGACATATGAGTTCCGCGGCAAGGGGAATGATTGGATTGATCGAAGAAGAACAAGCTGCTGCTCAATGAGCGATTTTGCCACCCCTAACCGAGTAATGCTCAGGGCGAATCCATCCGAAACATATCAGTAGCATTTCAGAGTTATTGTGGATGTTAAGTTATGTAACTACAGTATGGCCTTGTACGCATTTGATGGGTCCTGAGAAGCAAGGGGAACCAATCTGAATTGAGATAATAGAGATGATTTAAGAAGAGACTAAAACATCGAGGACTTGTTGAAGTGTCCTTGTTTATAGAAGTTAGCAGTGGTCAGAAAGGGCCTCGAGCCCCTGTTGCAGCTTCGACCAAGATGGTCGAGTTTCTCCGCCAGGTGGAAGACCTTACCAAGGACCTCTTGTCGACGCCATTGAACGACTGGCAGGATGAACTCGATGCCCTCCGTAAGGAGATGCAGCCCATCAAAACGGCCATCGAACCGCCAGCGAGGCCTAGTGTTCGTACGTTCGCAGAAGTAGCCGCGAGTGCGCCAGCGCCAGCGCACTATCTCTCAAGCAGCTCATCAAACAGCTCACCAACGCGCCCGGCGGAGAGGTGGCACGCGACCGAGAGGTAGTAGTATCTGTAGGCGATCGCTCGCAAATTGGCGCATTCCGCCGCATGACGCCGGCAGAACTCACCAAACGTGCGAACAGGCCCGAGCGAAGGCAGCGAGATCAACCGAGGCCCTACCTCTCGCGTCCGTGATGATCCTCGCATCGCGCCAGTTGAGATCGGGTGATCTCCGCTTCACTATGCGCAATGCGAAGGAGGCCGAGATCATGCGAATGCGCCGTGATAAGTGGCCGAAAGGCCTCTGCAAAACGGCATTCGTACACATGCCGATGTGGGGAATAATCGTCCATGATGTTAACGTCCGGTCCCTCGGCATTGATAAGCCGTCAGTCGAGGAGCTCAAGACGGTACAGGAGAAGGTGATCAAAGACCTACTAGCGAGCAATGTTCATAGCTGGGGAGATGTAGAAATCAGCAAGATTAGCTGGCTACGCATACCGGACAGGAAGTCAGACTCACTAGTTGTTGAGTTCACCTATGAGCAAGCTCTGCCTGGCCCCATCAGGCCCTGGGGTATTGGTGCTGCAACCCCCTGTCCCAGCCATAATATTACCCTAGGACTATAGCCCCTGCTGTCCAGGCAGTATAATCTAGGTATTATTCTATTTATCTTATTATACTGCCTCTATCTATATTAGTTATAGAGCCCTAATCTACTAGCATAGCTATAGAATTAGCATGCACCTATTAGGATTAGCTTACTATAGAGATTTTACTAGGTGTATAACTCCCTACTAGGGCTATCCTACTTCTTATACCTAATAATCTAGGTCACCTAGCTAGCCTGCTTTACTGCTCCTAGGTCCTATTCTTATATAATTATTTATATTAAACTTAGTACCTATTAGGGGGTGGAATCTTATGCTAGAGGTATACCTCTACTATAGAGATATATATCTCTGCCTCCTGCCTAGTTTAGGCCTGTAAACTAGCAGTCCCCTTACTCTTATAACCTAAACTAATAATTTAGCCTAGTAATTTAGCAGCCTCCATTATTAATAACCACTATTAACTATATACTAAGAAAAAATGGGTGGGTCCGCTGCGCAGCGCAGATGGAATGCAATATACGCCCATAAGGGTGTCTACGCAGGCCATTTACAGTCCGCAACTATTTCTTAGTACATAGGCTCGGTTTAGTTTTCAGCCCAAATTTTAAAACAAACATAAACAATGTTTTCTTTTCACGTGTTATTCCCCTATTTCAGTCCTGCTCTTAAACCTATGGTCTGTACATCGCCTGCATCCCTCTTTTTCTCATGCTACAGGATTTATCATGCCCTGGTGGAAGTGGCTAGCAGTTAATATTATTAAGTCTATCTATTCTCCTAGACCTTCATGCACCCATATTGCGGCTAAAGGCTTCTAATACTATACCTATTGCAACTGCTCAAAGCTATTAGAGGACTATAAAGCTATAGTTCCATACCATAACCCCAGTTCCTAGCTATACACCTATTACTATAACTGCTGTGTTTATATAACTACCATTCTAACAGGCTGTTGCTTACTAGATGACAGCTCTCAGAGTATTAAACCTATAATCAGCCTCCTCACATTGCAGCTAAAGGCTTCTAATTCTATATCTGTTGCAACTCCCTAAAGGCATTAGAGGACTATAAAGCTGTAGTTCCAGACTATAACCCTAGTTCCCAGCTATATAACTATTGCTATAACTGCTGGGTTTATATACCTACTATTCTTAATAGCCTGTTACTTACTAGATAATAGCTCTTAGAGTATTAAACCTATAATCAGCCTCCTCCTGAAGCTCCTAATCTGCCCATACCAGATAATAATACAGATGTCCCGCGGAACCCTCTGGCCTATTAGTCTGAATTATATAGGGTAAAACCTCTAGATATGGGCTGTATAGAAGCAGAATATCTATATTACAAGGCCTTATATTAGATTAGAGAGTAGGAAAGTGGTTCTTTACTCCTAAGCCCTATTTTTACAAAGTGTTGCCTTAAAGGAGCTATAAAACTATCTCTAGTCTGCACTCTAAATTAGTTCTGTGAGCTTTTCAGTTCTGATGAACCACAGGCAGTTAAGTTCTGTAAGAATATTCATTACTATAATAGGGCTCTGTGTTTTATATCCATAATTTATAAGAATAATGAGCGCATTTGGGGGGATACAGCCCATTTTAGATCCATAGGCAGTTATATCATCTTTAGGGGCCGCTAGTACCTGCTGATAGCCAGGATCCCTAGTTCGTGCAGGTTTATATATATAATGCTGCATATGGCAAGCAGCTCCATGGATGCAGGGATTCACAACTTAATTACAGCCTTCTAGGTGAGCTTATAGACATAATGCATGAGTATAATCCCTATATTCCTATATATTAATCTGCTGTTGAGTAGTTGAGTACTATAGAGGTCTGCTCTATACCTATATTAGTCCTTTTGTCTCCTGAATTATGGTTAGTTCTAGAAGAGGGTGCTGACTATTATTGATATAATATGCCTATATCTGATGAAGTTATGGCTATTATACCTGATTAAGGTGATGGTTACAGCTGTTGAACTTTCTGAGACATTATTCTATGCTATCATCCCATGCTAGAGAGGTTAGGACTGACCCATATCCATACTAGCCACCTGGCTTACATCCCTCTATAGTATCTACTTATCTTCCCGTGCGGTGAACCCGGTTGGAGTTAGGATCTATAGTTGAATGATTCCAACAGCTAGCATGAAAATAACCATCTAATAGCCTAAATGTTCCATTCCTATCACATATTTAGTTATATTAATGAATATAGTCCTTGGCTACGGGCCAGTTAACTCTGGTAATAGTATTTGGTTGATGCCTGGGCCATGGTAGAGCAAGACCATTTAGACTAGCTGAATGACCATCAGGATGATATTCAGGCTGAAATATATAATGGGCTGGCTAATATATTAGCCCATGCAGATAGAGATATCTCTATTCTTAGGGATATAGGTTATAAAGTGGTCTTACCATCATCCTATATAAGAAGCCCTTGCTACATGTAATAGATTTACTAGGATGCTATAGCTATTTACTAGTTCTATAGTCTACTATCCCTCTTTATTACCTTCACAGCTAATCCTAACTGGGAGGAGATCCAATAGGAGCTTTTTCTTAGGCAGGCTGCAGCTAATAGGCCTAACTTAATTATAAGAGTTTTTAACTAAAAACAGGCTGATCTGATTAAATAACTGTGTAATAAGTATATTTTTAGCACTGCTTTCAGTCAGTTCTATATAGTTAAGTATTAAAAATGCAGTCTGTCACATCTGCATTTAGTCCTATTTATAGAGAACTGTGATTGATTTCTTATAGTTAACTATATAGATCAGGTTGTTTCTGCAGAGCTTCCTAATCCTAATACAGACCATAAGCTCTATAATTTAGTTACATCCCATATAATCTACAACCCTTGCAGCCCATAATTTAACCCTATAGCCCTATATTTAGGCAAACATCCAGATATAGGCAACATTTACTATACAAAGTGTTTTCTAAAGTCTTCCTCTAATGATACCTTTCTATAAGATAATAGATACCCTATATATTAGTGCTGCTGCTTGCCAAACTACACCTTTATAAAGACTTTATAGTCTGGGAAAGAAATTTAGATTAATAATACATAGGTTATCCCATATAATACCTATCTCTTAAAGTATTATAGAGCCTATATCAATATTAAGGTCTGCCGTGGCGTTAATATTATTAAGTATATTACTAAATATATTTATAAGGGCCCAGACCATACTACACTATAGGTTAGTCTAATAGATGAGATCAGTAACTATCTAGAGGCCTATTATATTAGCTCTGCAGAGGCTACCTAGCAACTTCTATAGTTCCCAGTCCATCAGGAATGGCTGCCAGTGCAGCTGTTACAGGTCCATACATCCAGGCACCATTAGGTTCTGTTTCAGGCCACTGATAACCCAGACTGCATCTAACATTAGATAGATGATTTTCACATAATACTTATAGCTTTCTTCTAATACAATGAGCATGCAGCCTATACAGGCTTGACACAATATCTCTACGCCCAGATGCCCCAGAACTTCGTATAGGATAGCAGGGGGAAGGTCTGGCAGCCCTATTAGAAAGGCTTTATAATTAGTCATATATATCATTGCAGTCCTACACATAGTGAGAGGTTCTATGTACAGCTGCTTCTAATAGTAAAAGTTAGACCTACTTCCTTTAAGGACCTCCATATAGTGGATGGCCTGTAGCATGCAACCTTTAAGTTAGCCTATAAAGTAATAGGGCTACTAGAAGATGACCATAAATGGGTTACAATCTTTGAGGAGGCATAAAACTTTACTATAGGTTCTTTATTATAGAGCCTTTTTATTATTACATTAACCTTTAGAGATATTAATAATCTATTAGAGCTATAGGATATATTTAAGGATTTTATCTGCAATAATCTCCTGCATGCTATTAGCTGTATGGAGAACCCTCCAGCTATTACAGCACCTTATCTAGATTATAGTTTATTCCTACTAGCTTGGATTCTAGAGGAGCAAGGCAAAACTCTGCATAATTATGGTCTACCACACTTTTATAGTGTGTGGGGAGATTGCTATGAACCTCTAGTCCTATAGGGAGATCTAGCACCTGGAAACTTATAGATAATAGCTGCAGACTTGGTCTCTAAGCTAAATAATAATTAGCAGAGTTGCTTTAACCAGGTTATTATAGCTATAGAGGGTCATTCCAGCCATAGTTTCTTTGTGTAGGGTCCTGGCGGCATGGGGAAAACCTTTCTTTATTAAGCTGTATACTACTACCTATGGTCTTATAGATATAATATTATCTGTGTTACTTCTTCTAGCATTGCAGCCTAGCTCCTGCTATATAGATATACTACCTACTTAGTCTTCTATATTCCACTTAAGTTACATAAGGTATTAACCTATAGTATTTTAAAACAGTCTATAGCAGCCCAGTTCCTCTATAGTGTTAATTTTTTTATCTGGGATAAGGTTCTAATATAGCACCATCATGCCTTTAAAGCTATATCCTAGTTACTTTTAGACCTATATAGTGACAGTAATGGTCATCTAAGCCTAAAGGTCTTTGGTGGCATGCTAATTTTAATGGGTGGAGACTTTATGCAGACCCTTTTAGTTATTCCTAAAGCTTCATAGTCTGTTATTATAGCTGCTTGCCTGCAGAGATCCCTGATCTGGCACTATCTAATTCTTCTATAGCTCACCCATAACATGCGGCTGCCACCTACAGGTGTGAATTATAAGTTTGCAGACTGGCTAGAAGCAATGTCCTATAATAAATCCCTATATAGCTGCATATACCTGCCTTTATACCTCCTGGATAGGTGTGTATGGTCTAGGGAAGCTCTCTATAAGTATATGTTCCCTGCATTAATGTTAGCCATGCCTGTGGATCCTGAGTTCTAGGCTGAGCGCGCCATCCTTTGTATCTATAACAGTGGGCTTACAGAGATTAATGATAAGATCATGGACTGCCTGCCTAGTGAGGCCTTAGTCTGCTATATAGCTAATAAGGCGCTTATAGGTGATGTGGGAGAGCAATTAGAAGATGTCCTATAGGAATTCCCCTATATAATTAACTTCCTAGGCCTGCCGCCGTCCATTTTACACCTTAAGAAGGGAATACTAATAATATTACTCTATAATCTACAGCCCACTGAAGGTCTTTGCAATAGCACCTAGTTAGTAATAATAGAGCTACAGCCACATGTTATTTAAGCTTGCATTCTTATAGATAATTATAGTAGTTCTGTCCACTTAATCCCCTATATTAAGCTATAATCTAATGAAGAAGACCTTCCATATATACTAGAGTATATATAGTTTCTGGTCTGTCCTTACTTTATAATTACTGTTAATAAGTCCTAGGGTTAGTTATTATACCTAGTTAGTATTAATTTATAGCTCCCTGCTTTCTCCTATGGCTAGCTATATATAGCTTTATCCTATATTATAGATATCTTATAACTGTTAATTCTATTACCTAGTGATAGTAACTGCACTAATAATATAGTATATCCAGAGGTTTTACAGTCTCTACAGTTATCTACTTGAGTTGGGAGATGATGTTTATTCTTATAATATATTGTATTCTAGCTGTTTAACAACTGCAAAGGCTGCCTTTAGTATTATAAAAGGTAAAAAACAGGCCCCCCTCCTATAGCCTGTATAATCTACTTACAGCCCTTTCTACTTCCTTTCTTTCCCTTTATAGCCTTTCCTTTGCCCTTCTTCTATAACTTCTGTAATACAGCCTATATGGCTGTATTAGTAGCATCATCATCATCCTTATCTTTGTCATCTTTATCCTCATCATCTTCATCATCTTCATCATTATTATTACGCCCTGTAACCAACGCCTGAAACCTAGCTTAATCTATAAATGTTATGGTATACAAGTTAGCAGCAACTACAAGGCTAGAGAGGCCCCCTGCTGTCTACTTAAAAATAGTTGCTGCATTAAGCATAGTTACATGCATATGGGCTGTAAAATCCATGCTAATCCTCATTATAAGCACCTGAGCTAAATGCAAAGTGTTATTATTAACTACTAGTAGCTGATCCTCCTCCTCTACTTCTTCTTCTTTATTATTATGCTGGCCCGTAGTAGTTCCTTTGCTAGCAGTGGTCTTGCCCTTACAGGCCTTCTTTAAATTAGATGGTCTAGGTGTAGGGCTGTTATTAGCTGCCTTGGTGTACTTATAGTCTGAACAGCAGGCAGTGGGGGCAGCTAATTATTATATATAGTTAGTATATTGCCTGTTGCAGGTGCAAGGGGAAGTATTACTGACTGTAGAGGGAGTATTAGGCACCTGAGGAGTTGTAGTAGCAGTTACTGCAACTATCCTTTAGCTTATCAGGCACAACTATACAGTCCTGAAATAGACTACACCCTACCTGGCAATGGCTGCACTCTAGAACCTGTAACTATCTAACCACCTGTCCTATAATCACCTCATAATTCATAGCCTGCTCCCAGTTTGATGCATACAGCTTCCTAATACTGGGCCAAAAGATAGGTTCACGCGCAGCAGGCATCTCAGCAAGTTCTGATATAACTATTAAAATATTCTGCACTCCTGTAAGATTGAGTGCATTGGCTACAGAGGAGATGACATCAACTGGGCAAGGGGAAGGGGGAGGAGGTGTATTACCATCATTGCTAGTATTAGTTATCATTACAGATTATATATCAGTGTTGACACAAGGAATTTGGTCTGTATAGGAGGTGCTGGTAGGCGCAGAGATATAGAAAAGAGAAGGACTTACAATTTTAGAAGCAGCTAGGGGAGGGCTGTATATTTATACTAAACCAGTTCTTATTATCCTATTCACTGTGATTTAATTCAATACCTAATTTGTGCAATAATACTACCGCCTACTAATGTGTTTCTATAGCCTGGCTAATGTGATTATACAGCCCTATTATCCCCTAACTGGTCATATTATTATTGCTTAATGCCCTATTGTTCTTTGCTTTCTATATTTCATTTCTTATTCTGGACTGTAATGAAGTTTTCATGTTGTGTTACACATTTGTTATTCTGCCTCTACAGACCGCTTACCTCAAGCCGCCGAGCAAAGCGAGGATCAACAGCTTGTCTATATACTAAGATCCCTATTCTAGATGCTAGGTAGCTAACCATACTACTAGGGTCCCTATTAGATGGTTCTTATAGGGATCTAGCCCCTAGTACTAGATACAGTAAGCATAGGATTAACTAGACCTACTATAGCTGCTAGGGATATCCTACCCTACTAGTGGTGTTGTGCGCGGACTGCACGGCCGCCCATACTAATTAGGGCCGACCGCAGGGCCTGGTGACTGCAGTTTCCACATCCATTCCCCATCTAGTCTAGACTCCACAGCAGGACTCCATAGTCACTCCTAGACTCCATGGGAATTGCCTATCTCTCCATCAAATCTTCATCTTTTTCAATGATTGAAAATTATTTAATAATGTGAATCCGCTGCATTATAACATTCCAGTATTAGATTCAAGGATATTTGCTAGGAAGGTGGTCAAACCAGGGGGGAAGGCCATATGGTTGATATGTTGAGATTTTTTATTGGGGTCTGCTAAGATGACTCTCTGCAAGAAGTATAGACCCTCAGGCCCTATACTAAAGTTAGTAGGGTGGAGCAGAAGGTCAGGTCTGCACAGAGTATAGAGTGTAGCTTAATTAGTTATAATCTACATCCACTCTGGAGTCTATGTCTACTCTAGAGTTAAAGTTCCCTTAAGCAGGAGTCTTATTAGTTATAAGTATTATCCTCACCCTAAGAGCATCTTTGCCAGTCACGCGACCCCACCATGATTAATTAATTATAAATTAATTAATCCATCCATCATCCTAATGTGTAGGATGGATCAATCGATCAACCATCCTTATCTATATAGTAGGAAGTAGGATTAAAAGTTACTAAGAAGTATACAGTGAGGTTCACTCTCTAGACTAAGGATTAATCTCTATAACTTTCCTCCTGCCCTCACCCTACCATCTTATAGTTAGGTGACCTGGGTCTTGCCCCCTAATCCCCTAGAAATGTATACATTTTGTTAAGTTTTTACCCCTAATAATTCCCACCCTTCAGGATGGCTTGAGATCCTAATAAATTACCCTAATCACTACTATCACTACTATCACTATTACCACCATTACAGAGGATGAAGACTACCCCTTCTCAGGAGAGCCTTCAATCGACAATGGTGCTGGATAATTGTTACGGCACTGACACAGCCGCACTAGTACAGGGCGGGTGTGACAGGCAGAAACCCAAGAATCAATGATCACCAGTCAATCCCGGAGTGATCAGGGCACAATCCAGAGAAATACTTAATCTAGATAAACTTCCGCAGAAAAACAGTTCAGTAGGGCATAACTGAACATGTTTCCCAACAAACCGTTATCACGTGACATGGTAGATGGGTATATAGAATTAATAATAGAAGGGTATTATAATCATCTACTATTCTACCACCATACCACATATCACCACTATCACCTGGAGGAACTATGGATATATAAGGATATTTATTATTACTATATCTAGCACTCTTAGTTTAGTTCCTCACATTTAATACAAGCTATTCACTTGAGTATAAGTTCACTAGTCTAATTCATTAGTTACTCTCTTACTACTAAGTATACATACTTAATAGGCCTTGCTTCTATCTCTACTGTTATTATTCTTGTATTACCCTTGGTTGTCCTTAATCCTATTCAGATCATTGTACTGCTGCATCATTAGGCTACCCAGTCAGTAGGCCTTAGATAAGTATTAGATATAGTCCAGGGACTATATCACTCTATTCCTAAAGTAGTTAACTAGCAGAGAATAGCAGAGACAGATCCCAGGGTGTAATAAATTAAACACCATATAGTATAAATCACTTTGGGAAGTTTAATTAACTCTTAACATCAAATATCATAGCAGGAAATGCACCAACCCCTACTAGCTTAAATATTAGTCAGGCAGGAACTCTACAGCAGCAAGCAGCTACACAGCCCCAGATTATAGTAGAAGGTCTGGTAGGTATGATTAAACAGCTCCAGGAATATATCTAATAACTAGAATAATAGAATAAAACTCTGAGTAGGTGACTAGCAGTCAAATCTATTAAGATCTAACCACCAGAACCATTTAATGGAAATCAGTCTAAGTTGTAGGTGTTTCTTATATAACTAGATATATATATCTAGATGAATAGAGAGAAACTTACTAATAAGGTAGATAAAGTTTTATTTATAACTACTTACTTAACAGGACTAGCCTTTAATTGGTTTAAACCCTTTATTAGGGATTATTAAGAATACTCTGTAGACTTATAAGATGATGAGATGCAAGCCATATTCACTAGCTATACTAAATTTAAGAAATAACTTAAAAGAACCTTCAGTGACATTAATAAAGAAAGAAATGCTAAACAATAGTTATAGCAACTTAAGCAGACAGGGTCTGTTGGGGAGTACACATCATAATTCTAATAGATTATATCCTATCTAAACTAGGATGAGGATATAAATATTGCATAATTTAAAGAAGGATTGAAGCCAGAAGTTTAGGAAAGGTTAATCTAGATGGAATAACCTAATACACTTAATAAGATGATCAAGCAAGCAGTTAAGATTAATAATAAACTATAAGACTTCAACATGCGCAAAAGGGAGTAAAGTAACTAGAATAGCTTTAGTAATAGGCATACTATAAACTATTAAGTAAATAATAGGAGGCCAGCTCAGCTACAAAGCTAAGGATATTCAGATCCTTATAGACTATAATTAATAGAATTAGATATAACACATTTGACACTCTCTAGCAAGGAGAGAGAATAGTAATAAAAAGAGAAACTATGCTTCTAGTGCAGGAAGCCAGGACATATGTCTAGAACCTATAGATAACTACCTAGGAAGGGTAAGCAGGGAGACAGAAAATAATTACAAGCTATAAAGGAGCTTAGTACCATAATTAGTAGAGATAGTTATAATACTACTAGTATTATTAAACTAAAAAAGGTTGATGAATGACTCAAAAAGCTATACAAGGAATGTATAAACTTAAGTAATAAAGAAATTAAAATAGAGCTTAAGAAGGAAGACTCCACTAATTATGAAAGTATAAATAATAACTAGCCTATTAAGGACTTAAATGTCCTTATAGCCACTAATTAGGAATCACTAATCAGCAATAAGTATAGCTCTAATAAATAGGAAGATATTATGCCTGAAGGAGTTATTCATTAATTAATAGCACTCTAATAGAAGATTAATTAGGTTATCAGCCCTGATTTAGAAAACACCAACTAGGATGAGCCAGATTAAGAGGATTTTCCCACAATAGATTAGGCCATAATTAACCAGCCTATTAATCTACTTAATGAAGAGTATAGAACTTAGTGGGTGGGCCTTAATTCCAACAAGGAGCAGCCCTAGAAGATTCCTAAGACACCTAGAGATAATTCCCCATAAAATAATAATAAAGCAGATCAATATGCTGTATAGCTATAACAGCTAGATAGAAAGTAGTTAGCAGAACTAGAAGTATACTAACTAAATACACAAATCCTTGAGAAAGTTAAATAAGGAGTAAAAGAATGCATATATTAAAACTTAGAATATTAGACTTAAGTTAAATCTTAGGAATAACACATAACACACTATAGAAATCACACAGTCTATTATTAAAAATGTAGATAATAGATAAACAAATACCACTATAAACTTAGGAGGGTATTAGAAAAAAGACTACCAGGACCATTTCATAGGAAATACAACTATAACTAGTGTCTATATAAATACTTCTAAGGACACCCACAACATGAACAGGTGCTATAGATTACCTATTACAGTAATAACTGCAGCATCTATTATAATAATAAGTACATGGCAAAGTATTAGCCATTAGTACCAGCAATTATAAAGGAGAACAACACTTATCTATGCTAGAAGCTTAAATGCTCTTGCAAAGGATACAGATAACACCTAAAATATAATATAATACATTAGATGGCATGCTTTAAGGACCAATGCATAATACACTACTAAGGTAAATTAGCTAGAGGATATTTCCCTGTGCCACCTCTAATAATCAGGGCACTAAAATAGGAAATAGAATACCTCATAGTAATAGTGCAACATAGAAAGCACTTAAAGATAGTTATAAACATTCTTAATTAATTAGCTAAAGTGATAATTAACTTAGGAGCAATAGGTAACTTTATAAATCTAGCATTTATAGGAAAGCTAGGGATTCTTAGAAAAATAAAGGCAGTACCTAAACTAATTACAGGTCTGAATAGGGAGAATATAGGAACTCTCATAATCATAACTAAGTCAGGACTAGTTCTAATAGTTATATTAGGACACTTTAAAAGAATTAATTTTAATGTTATACCAACAGGACAGTATAATATAGTGTTAGGGATTCTATAGCTTAGGAATCATAACCTAGTAATTAACTAGAATACAAATTAAATCTAGTTTAACTATAAATACCCACAACAAGACCAGACTCAAGGGGAAACCAGGGCCTTATAGCATGTTAGGTTGAAGGATAATAATAATAATGCTAAGCAGTTAAAGGGTGGACTAAAAAGAGAAGTAATAACTAGCTAAAGGATAACAGTAGTATTAGCAGCAACAAAGCCATTGCAATAGACTGTGATAATAGAGCTGCT